CCCTCTTCTTTCTTCTCCTGGTTGAGCTCTGATCATCCAGTCATCAAAGCCAGGTCAAGTGGGTACCATCTGCAAGTGTGGGTGTTCTTGTGCATATGCCCTCTATCGGCTGGTAGCTTCACTCTCCACTCTAGTCCTCTGTGGCCACGCCACTGACTCTGGGCCCAAGAGTCCCCAGCAGCCATTTTCTTAAAGTGAAAGGTAAGGACATGTAGGAAGAAGACTAAAGCCTGGGTGCTAATTCAGTCCAGGAACAAAGCTGCATGCATTTTATACATCATTGAGTTCTTAGCATGTTCTGAAGTATACATCATGGCCCTGTCTTTGAGGAAACAGCTTCATGTCAGTCTTGGTGGGCCTGGGGTTTGCAAGCATCTCCATCTCTGGCTCTGGAGCCCACGTTCTGTTTCTTGGGAAAGCAGACTGAACCACTATTCACAGCTGCTCCTACCAACTTTAGACGCTTCTAGAAAATCAGTCTGAGGCCTAAAGGAGGGCTGGCTTTACCGACTGAGAGAATTTAGGTAAGTCATCTGTCTGTACCCGATTGCACACATAACATCTGCTACATTTTGACTGTAAGTATTCTCAGGCATTTGCTGGTACTGTCAGCATTTTAAAAATGGTTTTTATTTTAGTAATGATGTTTTTAAAAAAAGGAAGTAAAAGCCTTTTGTATTTTCCCAGTTATAAAGACAAAACTTTTTCTCTGCAGTGTTAACTTAAAATAAAAAGCTCAATTTTCTTGGAGGAAGGTTCTTGTATGATAGGTGAGTATCTCTCACATTGGAGACAACTGATGGATTCTGGGGGTCTGCAACTTTCTCCTCCTTCCCGACAGAAACGCTGCATGTGCAAAAAGCCTGGCACAGTTTCCGTCTGGTACCCACGTGTTGCAGCTGTTTGGGCTCAGGTTTCCTTTCCACTAAGTTTTCAGCAGGTCCAGGGTCACAATGGGATCCTTATATGTCCCCAGGCCTCAGGGGCAGCAAGAACTCACAGGGGTTTTCTGGGGTGTTCTGCTGCTGTGGGGGAGGTGTAAAGCCCATCAGAGGTGGAGTCAGAAAACCTGAGAGTGTGGCAGTGTGGAGAAGGGGACAGAGTAGACCAAAGGCACAGGTTTGGGACATGAGAAAAGCAGACATACTTAATACAACTGTAACCATTTAATTGTCCTCTTCTGAGTTATCTGGAGTGTTTGCACACTAGGTTTGGAGGCTGCTGTCCCTGGGACTGGGGACTGGAGCCAGGGATGGTGTTTATTAAAGCTGACTTTAGCTTTACTTAAAATGAATTCTTTCTTAAAACAACACTGGAAGTAAATGTGATGGGCTGTCAACAGATATTAACCCAGGTTAGATGGTTACATTTGCTGTTGTTGCTGTCTGACATAGAGTCAGTTCTGACTAATGGTGACCCCAAGTGTTAGGGCAGAACTGTTACTTAAGCTTTTCAATACTGTAACCTTTATGGAAGAGCCTGGGTGGCACAGTGGGTTAAGTATCTGGCTACTAACCTCAAAGTCAGAGGTTCAAACCCATCAGTTGCTCCCTCAGGAGAAAGATGAGGCTGTCTACTCCCGTATAGACTGACAATCTAAGAAGCCCTATGGATAAGTTCTGCTGTGTCCTATTAGGTTGTTATGGCATTGGAATCGACTCAGTGGTAGTGGGTTTTGGGGTTTGGAATCTTTCCAGAAGCATATTAGCAGCACCTTTCTTTCATAGTGTCACTGGGTGGGTTGGAAGTGTCAACTTTTTGGTTACCTGCTGAGCATCACCCAGGGACATCTTAGGGAGACTGCGGGTGTCTCCTGACACCCAGGGCCAGCCAGGCCTGGGGCGAGAAAGTGCTCCTAGTTGGTATAAAAAGCAGAACACAACCATCATGTGCTGAAGTACAAATTTAATAAAGCCTTTGATCCTATCTTAATCCATAAGTTAGCTACGAAAGACAAAAAAACACGCCACAACTTTTTAGGACCATCAAGGTATCAAATACATAACCATCACAATTTGAACACCAGCTACAAAAGTACAGATCAGTGTTTTAGATAGTGCAATATTTCCCAATGATGAATTTAATGAAATGACAAACTCCTCCTCCTCACCAAACAAAAAAACAAAAACAAACCTAACCTTGATGCTTATAAACCACTCCCTTCCAGTCCCCCACTGGTTCCGATGCTCTGGTAATAAAATCCAAATGGGATCAACAATTTTATTTTTTGCAGGCTGACAGTTCCTTAGGCCCCTGCTTGTATGTACACACATGCTCAAAAGAGATCATCACAGGAATCCAGCGTTTACAAGAGCGGCAAGTCCATAGAATCAGAAGCTACCAACAATTCTTAAATAAGAACAGTAGAAAGATGCCGTCTTTCCATCAGAGTGAAATACGCATCCTGTCCCTGGGGTTAGGCGCTCCAGCACATCCAGGCTTGGGACCCACAGGATGTGGGCATCAGACAATCTGAAGGAGGCCGTGGAGACAGGCCTTGCCTGCTTGGGTATTAGAAGGGTTTTGCTGTTTTGAAGAAAGTTGAAAGCCTGAATTGGCTCTGCAGAGCAACAGACCACTGGGCCAGACACTCCTGGCTTTGATTGGCATCTGGCCTCTGTCTTAGTGGAGGAGTGGCGGGGGTGCAAAGGAACATGAGGTGGGAGACAGCCTGACTCAACATAGACCACTGACCAGGGCCTCTACCTCCATCCCCCTGCACACTGGATAAAGTTCTGATATGAAGGGGAAGAATGAGGGCAGAGGAACAATGGGGTGGAAAAGAAAAAGAAGAGAAAAAAAGAAAACCAACCCAGAGGGTATAGGAGTTTCCTTGGCCTCATGGGCCTACTAAGTCAGTGCAAAGGACTCTGGGTTTCCCTGTGCTGAGGAGTGGAGAGGGGGCAGACCCGAGTCTCCTGGGATTGTACAATCTATGGGGTTAAGCCACTGCCAACAGGATATAGTGCCTCAGGTTAGCATTTGTTTTGTCATTAGAGAGTAAGTGGGGCACAACACTGCCCACCGGGAACCCGCAGACTTAGGGTAACAGTCAGCGCATTCTGGGAATAGAAATTGCTCTTAAGGGTCAACTCAGTGAGTGCATAAGAAGGGAGCAAAGCCGGCGGAGATGCCTGAGGCAGAGGGTGTGCAGCCCCTTGAACTCCTTCGGAGCAAGTGGGCCTGGAAGTTTGGAAAGAGGCGCTGTGGACGGGGATGGAGACAGAACCTTCGTGGGGTGCATAGAGGCGTGGCAAGGCCTTACCTGAGTAAAGAGTTTTAGGGACCGGAAAGAGCATCTGCCATGTGGCTGGCTTTGTGCACTCAGGCCAACATCATGAAAACCACTCTGGACCTTTGAAGGTCCCAGGACTTGTTCAAGCGCAGCTCACTCACCAAGTTAAGGAAAGAGAAACACTAACCCAAAGGCCAAACTATCAAAAGGAGAAGCCCGTGTGCTTGAGGAAGCCCCTGTGAAGTCGGGAAGAAAGGACCAATGTGGGCAGAATCTGGAGGTTTATTTCCCACCCCCATTCCCATTAGTACTGCCTGGAAAGCGCTGTGTCCAGTCGTCATGTGCATCTAAAGTCCTCAAGGCCACAGGAGAGTCATGGCTGTAAAGAGGGCTATGCCCTAGGGAGCCTGGGCGGGGCAGGCGGGCCTCAGCTAGGAGAGCTCAAAGCCTGTGTTCATGCTGATGGCGTATCGCAGCTTCTCCCGCAGGACACTTTTCTTGCTGTAGTTGGGTAGCTTGAGAAGATTGAAGCAGGTAGAGGAGGTGGGCAGGCGACCGCCTGGCTCCCGCTTGCGGATAGTGAAAAAACCTCGCAGGACACTGCCCAGAGTGTCCCCAGTGTCCTGAAAGCAAACAGTATACCCGGAATTGGGGTCTGGGAGGCAGCCTGCAGAGGCCTTAAAAGGGGAACACAGAGAAGCACCCTGCTCTCTCCCTGCCAGGCCCTCCGGGCCCCACATGGGAATCCTGTATTAAGCTATCAAAGGTGGGTCTTCCGCTCTGAGTGCAGCCAACACTTCCCTCCTGGCCACCTGCTTCTTGGGTCAACTTTGCTGTCACGTGTCTAGATAAGGAGGGCCCAGGGGCCCAGACGGAGACACTGTGATAGCAGTGACCCCGGATACTTCTACAATGGCTACTATTTATCAAGATCCACCAAATGCAAGGACCGTAAGTTGCCCGCTTTCCCAGGGGCACACAGCCAGCAGATGGACGAGGTGACATAAACCTGCAACTTTCACAGATCTGGTGCCCAGGACAAGCTTAGCTTGCAGCTACTAAAACAATCCCCAGGGACTCTTCCTTGAGAAGCTGAAGAAAAAGGGTATCCCAAAAAAGAGCTGATACCCTTGAACAGCCCAAGTCTGCAGAACCCTCTCCGGCCCTTTCCTATCAAGGCCCAATACAGCAGGCACCAGGGACAACCACAGAGAGGAGAGTCAAGGAACATTGCCTGAGGGGCTGACTTTCCCCAGCAGTGGTACCTGATCATCTGACACTTCAACACAACGGATGGAGAACGGAGGCTTGAGGTAGGCGAATCCCAGCAGCGGGGGCCTGGAGCAGCTGGTCACGAACTGTAACACAAGGTGGGGTCAAGCAGGATGCGCGGAGCTCGGGAACTCTCCTTCTGCGGCTGTGCCGTGAAGACTCTGTGGTTCCCTGTCTCTCGCTCACCCCTGAGTGACAGAGTGTGCCTAGCCCCTGAACTGGGGCACATGCCTCATGTCTCGTCACTAAGGCACATGACAGCTTCACCAGCAGATGTGACCAGACACACTACACAGAACAAAAACTACCAACCAGGGGCAGGTCTCATGGGGCTGAGTCTAAGTGAAGTCAGAGGCATCAGACACCCTTAGGGAGAGATGCTGACAGAAAGCACAGGGGCAGGAGAAGCAGGTGGCAGCCACCTGAGTAGGAATGGAGCGGCCTCAGGATGACAAAGACAGCAGAATGCCAGCTGCAGTGACGAGGCACACACCGCCTCAACGGCTGAGGTCCCAGGAACCCAGATGTCCAAAGGAAGCTATGTCAGAACACTTCTATCTGTCTCAGAAGATGGCAAAATGCTTATAATATACTGGTCAATAAAAACACGGGCAAAATCACATTATTCTGTCTTTACCAAAACACACACTTATCAAAGGCATACAGTGCCTCTACAGAACATGTCAGCTTTGCAGGTATCAGAACCAGAAAGCAAGGTGGACCACCCTGTGACACACTTTGAACACTCACACCAGGAAGTGGTTAAAGGCAGTTACTCAACTTGCAAAAACAGACATTGGTATCAGACTCATCATTTGAGTGCATGTGTGTTTTGGGTTATTCTGTGTTAAGTATGTTAAAAGGGTACACAGACAGTCCCTGGTTAGTAGGAATGGAGACTGTTAAAAATTTTGCTTTTGTGAGGCAGTAAGCATTGTTTACTTCTGTAACAAAAGGAAAGAAAGAAAAGAGAGATGTCAGCCTGGCCCGATGGGTGAAGAAGGAGGCAGTGCTGAGCCGTCTCCCCATCTGCACTGGGTCCTTGTCTCAGCAGGGAGGGCTGCAGTAGACTGGCAGGCTCACCTGACTTGGCCTCGCCTCTCTCTGGTTACTGCCTGTCCTACCGTATGGGGAGAGGATATGCTGACAATATAGGAGGTCCTCTTGGTGATTTATTTCTAGTGTAAATGATTACCTTGGCTGGCCTCTAAGTTTATGAGATTATGTATGTCTGAACATGGGTACAGCAATGAATAAAGTACCTTCAGAAACATGGCTCTCTCGGCGGGCGTGAAGTCCGAGGCCAGGATATCCCACAGCCAAATGATGACTCTGTGACTTCCGTGAAAACCCCCGTAGTACACTGTGTGTTTCCTGCAAACAGTCCAGACATTGGGCACACACCGATAGACATGGCAGGCGCTGGATTTTAGGTAAGCAGGCCCAATGAGTTCGGGCAGGTCTGGGTACATGATGGCCTTCCTTTGAAAGCCACAAGCCAGACTTTCAGAACTTCATCTCTCTGGCAGAAGCCAGTCACACACTTCCTAGAGCTTCCAAGTCAAGTGGCTGGACTTCTTTTCCCGGAGCAATTCAACTGAGGAGTGTGGAGAAGGGCAGTGGGAGACAGGCCGCTGAAAACACCGCCCACAAGGAACCCAGCTAGGGAGGCCTAAGAATCTCTCATACACACAACCACACCCCTTACTTTAAATCTTCCAGATCAATCTCAGCGTTGTCACCAGAGATGAGACGCTGCAGTTCGGGGGTGGAGAACATTCGGATCCACTCGGGCTGGATAATGGAGCGGAACCCACTGATGAGAGCAGCCGTCTGATTTTTTATTTGAGTGTGCATCCGAAAATGTGCCATCAGATGGATGTAACTGATCCTGTTGCCAGCAAGGCAGAGGGAACAATGGATATGAGCAGGACAGGGCACGGAAAGATGACTTCACAGAAATGGTTACTCAGGGCCCCAGCATATCTCTGTAAAACAGTGCAATAGACGAGGGACGGCAGAGTGTGCCAGTCCTGAGCTCCACCTCCAAGGGCGTTCCCTCAGCCACTGCCCCCACAAGCACTCTCCAGGTAAGAGTGCTTTTCTACTGACTTAACCTAATCCTTATGGACAAAAACCGTTGCAGACAGAGTTTAGTCTTCCATTCAGTGTTTCAAGAGAAAAAACATTTCATGTGGAAGCTTCAATCAAAACTCTGCTAGTCTGGATTAACAGCTGACAGCCGTGGAAAGGCAAGTCTGCAGCAGGTTAATCTGAACTTCACCTGGGAAATCAGAACTGCCAATATCAGTCCCAGGTAAAGGGTCCCTGGGATCTGCTTTTATGAACACAGTGGGGGGAGGGGGCACATCTATAACCATCTAAGACTATTCTACTGAACAGGTTAATGAATCCCCAGCAGTCTTGCCAGCATTGCTGATTTCTTAGCAAACCATTTTTTCAGAGATTGAAGAATTGAGCCCAGCCCAGGTTTGATTCTCATAGATTCTGTATTACCAGAGCCCAAGAGAGCTGCTCTATCCCCCAACGCTCAGACCTTACTTTCTGGTCTGACTTTAACAGACCCCTATTTTTTTCTTAATTACCCAGCAGCAAATCTGTAGCATTTTCCTACTGTTGCTGCTCTTTTCATATACTCTTTGAAGCAGGTTACTATTTTACCAAGAGAGAGCAAGACTGAGAGTTTTCCCTCTGACACTCAGAAGCACAAGGTTAGGTACCCGCCTGGAGAGGAAACCAGGTAGGGCTAAGTCGGTTGAGTGAGTCGACAGGATAGAATAAGACTACTGCCATTATACGGAGGGCTTCAGCCAAGAACATCGACGGCTTTGTTCAATTAATTTCCACAGAGGTTTCAAGGCAGAGTCGCAACCTCACTCCATAAACACAGCCCACACTGACCTACTTCCTCTGGCGATGATACAGCTCCTGCCATCACCTCTGGTCAGATCACCTGGTGAAACAAGGCCTTTCTGGGGGCGGCGGGTCCCATGGCATGTCACACAGCAGGTGGTGGTGACAATTCCTGCTCCCATTATTAACCCCTCAGGGATGGTGTTCACATGTGTTATCTTAGGGTGAGCCTCAGAAGCAGCCTCAGAGTGGTGACAGGTCACACGGCCTTCCTTCCATCCCCAACTTGAGCTCACTGCCACTTCTAGGTTTTCATACTAGTGCTCCATGGTCAAGGGACAGAGCTAGATGTTTTCATGCTGATGAGAACAGTCTGCGCTCCTGACTCCTCTGACAGTCTATAATCGGAAACTCCCGAGTGCAAACTGACCAGGTCACAGGACCCAAAAGGGCCACAATGTGACAAGCGGCCAATTCAAATGACTGCTATTAGACAGGAAGGCTCAGAGGAAGGGTTCAAATGCTGAGGGGAGCCAGGTGCCAGCAAGACTGACAGCATGAACAAAGGGCCAACTGTTCTGGTTAGGTATGAAGAGGACCAAGTGGACGGTGTACTGATGGGTTTGACTCTAGAGGTGGAAAAGGGTGGCATTTGTAACAGGTTCCCCAAAGCCTGTTATCTGAGATAACAGCTGCCAGCCTGTAGAATCTCCTCAATTCCCAAGTCCATGCACACTGTTGGCTATCTCTGAATTCATCACTGTGTATTCAGAAGAACAGTCTCTCATACAAAGTACAATGCCACATGCTATTGTCCCACAACAACTGCCCCTTCCTGGTGTCTTTCTGCCTGCATTGAGGCCAATGTGCCTCAACAGCTCCATCCGTCTGCATCTGGAGCCATCATTAAACACCTCAAAACATGGTGGCCTGGACCTCTGACCTTTGAAGTACTACAGACAAAAGTCAAGTGTCAAGTGCAAATCAAGTTGAATATAATTTCTGCCTCTGAATTGTAACCAGGAAATTCCATTACCACGTTTATGGCCTCTTTGTACTTCGCTCTATTTTTAATCAATTCTCACTATAAGTTCTGAGAGCCCGAATGAAGGCTTTTCAAGCGGCGACCTTAAAAATCACATTGCTGTACTCACTTATTTTCATTTGTAACGGGGATGGTCTTCCCTCCAGGAACCAGTTCATGGCAAACGAGCTGGAGAAGAAGACGGGGCGTCATTACTAGATGATCCTCGTAGGGAAACAATGGCCACACAAGAGAATTCAGTTGATACGTGTTTGGAACATCATTTTTCACAGAAAGCCAGGCTTCACAATAACAAGCAGACCTTGTGTGATCAATAATAAAGGTTTCTTCTCACATGAGCCTCCTTGTTCAAACATCTGTATTAAGGTTGCAGGCCATCTTGAAGGGGAATGTACCACCACTTTTTAGCACACATTTAGAATGAGTAAAGGAATTTTGATGCATCCATACGCTGGAACATATGGTGCTGTAGGATAAGTAGTAGACTGATAATCACAAGGTCAGCAGTTCAAACCCACCAGCCATTCTTGGAAATCCTATACAGGATCACTATGAGTTGGAACCAACTCAACTGCATTTAACAATAACATACATAGGAACACTATGAAGCTAATAACAAACATGATGGAAAGGTAGAAAAAGCTGATTATAATCAGTATGCATTGGGTGGTATCGTTTCTTGGAGAGAGGGAAAAAAATTATATATATATATACGCTCAGGGGAAAATTCTAGAAGGACATAGAGAATACATTGACAGGAGTATTGTCTGGGCACTGACATTACAAGCGGACTTCATTTTTACCTGCAGGTGCTTTTTTTTTTGGTGAGAGGGTACACATCACAACAGGTTTCCATTAAAACAATTTCTACACATACTGTTTTATGATGTTAATGGCTATCTTTTTTTTTTTCCATTTCATTTTTTTCCACAAACTTTTTGAAACCCTCTTGTTACAAGATAATTTTTTAAAGGACCACAGTAATAATGGATGATTATTTTACAAACCAATCTGTTATTTAGCTAAAAGATGTCCTCATGAAATAATCTGAGTTCAAGGTTTAGAGAGTATCTCAGGGTGATAGTTCGGAGAGTCGTCCAATCTTAACTGGTCTAGTAAGTATGAACTTTTTACAGATTTGAGACTATTACACATTTTGCTCCCATTCTACAAGGACCCATCTGTTGTGCGACGGATCAGAATGGTCAGTAGCAGTAGCCGGGCACCATTTAGTTCTTCTGGTCAACCTGTAGCTTTTTATGGATGATTTTTCCGTTCAGAGTTTGCATTATTTTGATAGGAAAAAATTTAAAATGTCCTTGTTAAAAGGTATGTGAGGAAGAAAAATCAAAACCTGACTGCAGATTTATTTGGACAACAAATAAATAAACACTAAAACCAACTCTCTCAACTTATCTATAACACTTCTGTGAGCACAAAGGATGTGGGTGGGTTTGACCCAAAAACCAAGGGATGTGTTGAAATGGTCATTGTTTTGTTAGATATATCTTCACCACAAAAAAGAAACAAGGAAGCATGTGCAAAGTAGTCAACACAACAATGTCTGGCACTTAATTGCTCAAGAAATGTTTGCGACAACCAAAAATAAAAATAAATAAGGGAAAGGCTGTGTAATTTTAAAGCTAATTTTAGCATGAACTCTATTAATACACTGTAACTCTAAAGATGGTGAAAGGAAGGAGGACTATTGTCCCCCTGCTGTCACATCTTGGGGAAGCCACAGGATCTTCCAGCTGGAAAGGCCCTTAGGAAGCATCCAGCCCAGTGTTTCCCAAAAGAGGTTCCCAGGCACCCCTGGTGGTAGGCCATGATTGAGCCAATGGCCCTGCGAGGGATAGCACTTTTTGCTTCTCTGAAGGAGGGGTTGCTCTCATGGGATCTTGGAGCCCCCGTGGCCCTGCAGGAGGAGGACAGGGCACATGTGGGTTCCCAAGTACACAGAGCGTCAAGGACCCAGGTCTGACAAGCGACACAAAACTGCTGAGGACAATGTGAGCCTGAGGGACCTCTGTGAGGTGACAAAGACTATGTGTGGAGCTCCTGGCATGGCTTCTCAGAGCACATGTCCATGGACCTGTGGATGTGACTGAGTGGTGAGCAGCTGGACAGAAGTCGGGCAGCAGCTCGTGGAGGAGTCATGCTTTCAAGGGGCTTTCCGTCCTCTCTGCTCTGGATGTTGAGCATAGCCAAGACAGAGCTCTGTAAGAGGCAACTTCTTTCCTTTCCCTAAGTCATCACAATCTAACCCTCAGCATGATAACAAGTGGGCATTAGGGCGTCCATCGGGGACTGCCTACCATGCAGGATAGGCAAAGTAGGCTCTCTAAGGAACCAGGCTAACTGGGAAGGAAAGGACTCAAGTTTGGTATCTCCCAGAAACCACCAGGCCTGGGCAGGTCTCCGGAAACCAATGGTGGGAAGGGAAAGGAGACCTTGGCCAGAGGTTGACCTACCTGACCCATCACATCTTCATCATACGAGAGCGTCAGGCCCAGGTCAGCGATGTCCCCATCGTAGCGCTAATGCAATAAAGAGGAAGGGGGAAAGGATACGGCTGAGGGGCGCTCTGCCTTTCAAGAATCCTTCCCCTCCTTCCTACCAGGTACTCTTTCGTAGTGTTAACAAAAGGCCACCCATGCTCTTGAGGGAACCCCCAGTGGAGAGGAGGGTGTGGTTCCTTCACCAGAGCAAGATGGGGGTGGCAGGGCAGCTTATTCAGACAGGGCAAAGCTGCACCTAGTGGGAGCTCCCTCTACACTGACCTTGATGGAAGTGAGGTTTTTATAGAACTCCGAGTCCAGAGAAGGCAGCTCGTCCACCGAGCTGTAGAAGAGGCTGTGGTGGTGCCCAAGCAGCTGGCTCAGGAAGAAGGAGGCGAAGGGCACATCCACCACAATTCCCTGGGAGGAAAGACATGGGCACTGGCAAGGTACCGTCCAGAACACCCTCTCCTTGGGTTGATCGGGGCGGCCCTAGTGCCCTGTGGCAGCCCCAGGCCCTCCTACATTTTCACTCTGGAAAGTAATCACTCCACATTGTCCTGGTATGGCACTTTGAGATAAAGCATTAGACTGCAAGGTCGGTTTGAACCACAAGGTTGGCAGATCAAGCTTACCAGCTGCTCCTTTGAAACCCTATACAGGGTTGCTATGCATCGGATCCAGGTCGATGGCACTTAACAACAACAACAGTCACTGAATAAACAAACTCTCTACTAGGGACATGACAGCAGAGAGGATAAGGCACAGGTTTTAGAGGTTAGGGACCAAGCCTAGCCTTGCTACTGCCAGGTTAGGTGACTCTGTGTGGGGTCTTAACCAAACAGCTGGTTTTTTGCCTGGACATGGGGACTTGTCCCTTCTCAGTTAGGATTCAATGAAAGCACAAACTGAAGTGTGGGCACAGTGCCTGACCCTGTCAAGCTCTCAGGGCAATGGTCGGTGGTGGGTGTGGCCTCACCTGACGCAGTGGAGGAAGGTTTGAGGAGAAAGAGAAACCTCAGCTAGACCTACCGGGGCAGGGCACGTCTAGGCCATAGGCACATTCCAGGGAAGAACTGCAGGTCTGTCTGGTCACAGGACAGTATGAGTGTGGGAGGGCTAATGAGGCCAGAGAGGCAGGTAGGGCCAGGTCAGCCTCACTGGAGTCTGCATTCTACCCTGGGGGCGCACAGAAGGGAAGCGAGGGAGGAAGACAGAAGGCCACTGTATAAAGCAGGGAGAGCCACCAGCTGCTAACAGTAGGCTCACGTAGGGGTGGCAAGGAGTGTGGTGAGGGGAAGTTTTGGAGGTGAGGTCAGTCACATTCAATGACCACACTACTCCTCACATGGGGCCCAACCTAGAAAACCCAAGCTGCTGTTGAGTCAGTTCTAACTCATGGTGATCCCACAGGCAGAGCAGAACTTGGCTCCATAGGGGTTTTCAAGGCTGGCACCATTCGGACACAGATCACCAGGCCTTGCTTCTCAGGTGTCTCTAGATGGGTTCAAATCGCCAACCTTCTGGCTACTAATCAAGTGCTTAATCATTTGTGCTTCCCAAGGCCCCAATGCACAGGGCCCAGTAGGGATCAATTCCTCTCCTCAGCACGGTCATTGTAGGAGGGGAGGAAAGGAGACTAGTAAGTGGACGAGGATGCTCTGAATACAGGAAGCCTTGCCCAGACTCCTGGTCTTGGGCATACAGCCTGTGCCCATGCAGGTCTTAACTGGGTCTTGTTTTTTTAAATGGGGGCAGTGGACTGAAGGAATTCTTGGGTGGTACAAACAGTTAATGAGCTTAGCTGCTCACCAGAACGTTGGAGGTTTGTGTTCACTCAGAAGCACCTCGAAGAAAGGACTGGTGATGTACTTCTGGAAAACCAGTCACTGAGAGCCCTATAGGGCACTGTTGTCCTTGGACACAGGAAAGCAATTGGTGGCTGAGGGAGAACAACTGCTGTTGACTGAGGGTCTGAGAGGGGCTCCTGTGCACACGCTACTCCTTTCCTATGAGCTGGGAGCGGCCTCTGCTTTGCAGATGTGTCAGCAGAGAGGGCAGCCTGAGCCACTCAGCTGGGACAGGGCTGCAGGTGGTCTGGAAGGAGTCTGGGCATCTGTTCTTGGTTATGGCTGGGCTGTTTCCAAGTGCAGTCAGGCCAGTCTGCTCTACTCATGGTTTCCTTCTCTCGTGTGGAAATGGCCGCCCACTCTTCTTGCTTGGTGAGCACAGTGGGAGTGAGATGAGTGTGCCCAGGTGACTCATTTCCTTGGTGCCAGGTGAGTGTAGACCCCAAGCCCAACCTGAAGGTGATGCAGGGTGGACCGCTGAGAAGTGGACGGCTGAGGGATGCATGCTGTGGTGCTGCCTCCTTCCACAGAGGGTCACCTAGCTCAATGCGAGGAACACCAGCTTGAGTCTGCTGGGAGACCTCACAAAACCAAGGAGACACCATTCCTCTGCGTGTCAAAAGTGAGGATACAGCCCCAATTTACTGGGGCCAGTGGGAGGCATACATTTTCACCTCACTCACACACAGCTGGCAAGGCTTGGCCATGCGCTGTGAGCTCTGTGCTACTTCTTGTTCTAGTCTGCAGGTCCACTCCCGGGAGCCTGGGGCTCATTGTGAAGCACGCAAATAAAAACAGATGGGAAAACAGCTATATCAACTACAAGAACACCACAAAGTGTTTGCCCTCCTAAAACCACGACTGAGTTCTGGCCCACCAGTTCTCACAGGTCAGGGCAGGAGAGGATGGACTCTGAAACCGGCTGCCCAGTGTTCCAATGTGACTCTCCCTGCCTGAGTAACTATGAAGCTCGGGGCAGTGAGTTCTCTGAGCCTCTCCATTCCCTTGTTCTAGGCCAAGTCATGAGACTACTGAGAGGCTCAGACAAGATAAGGTGTATAAAGCAATATTGGAGTCACACCACTACTGGTTCCCAATGCTCTCTTCCATACGGTACCTTAATGATGAAGTGTTTTTACAAGGCAGGGCCTCATCAGGACAATGTTTTACTGTACATTTTAGTTCAGCGTTCCTCAATGTGCCTACCTCATATACAGCTTTCCCCAGCATCTTCCCCACAAACTCAAAAAGCTGCAGGTAATTCTCATGGATGTAGGAAGTAGGCGAAGGATATAGCCTCTCGTCCCCACTGGTGGTCTGAAAAACAAAACAGGGGGTGTCGTACCTGTCACCTCAAGTTTATTGCTGGCCACCCTGCTCTCGGGCCCCTACATACCTTGAACAGATTGAGTGCTGGGTCGAAGACCCTCTTGATGATCTCCTCTAGGAACTCCTTGAAAACGCCGTCCTGGTCGATCCCTGCCTCATCCACCCCGAGGTCATTGACAAACTTCACTCGGATCACACCCTTCATGGCGTGCTGGGAGAGCTGCCTCAGCTGCTCATAGCCGTCCTGCGCCGAGCAGAGGTGAAGCCCTTTAGCATTCCAGACGCCCTCCCAGGCCTCCTCTGCCTGTGGAGCTTTCCCTGTGTGATTACTGAACGTGCAAGTCTGGGCAGGTTTTATAAGCCTGCAGTGGGCGCAGGAAAGCTGCTCTCACCTGCTTGCCAACAAGAGCCCGTTAACATGGAAAGGTGACTTCCCAGCTCTCTGGCCAGGAAGACAGCCCTCGAGAGCAGCAGAGCAACATGGGGAATTAGTAATTGGGACAGAGGCCTGGTTCTCTCTGTTGCTGACACTGAGCAACCTGAGAACAGAGCCTTTCTGGCCTCAGTTATGCCTGGGACGTGGCCAAAGGACAGGTGGGCTTAGACACGTCTAAGGTTCTTCTGGTTCTGAAATGTAGTGTTCTAGTCCATATTCATCTTTACCTGTGAGGTGACCCACAGCTAGAAGCCAGATCCACACCATGGTCTTCAACAGAAACCCACAGAACAGGAATCAAAGCCCCCAATAGTGAATGGAGGTAACAGCAGTTTTTGATGCCCCCTTGTGTCCAAATCAAGCAAAGGTCACTGGGCTTCTTGTTTTAATAGCCAAACCATCAGATGGAGAGCGGGGGACATTGAGTAAGTCACCCTCTCCCTTCCTAATTCAGTAACCACATCTGTGACAGGCATGCTCCATGGGATGTAAGAGCACGATGTGCTTTGCCTGCCATCCTTGGATGTCCCCGTATTGACAGGGATGTCTGTTTCCCAGAAGCAATGCCATTCAGGTGGGAGTCAGAAAATTGCACCAACTCCCAGAAACCATGACAATCTCACATCTAGTTCATCCAGGGGGTGCCAGCCACATCTACACATCTGAGTGGGTAGTAAGGCTGCAGGGAAGGACAGGCAGGTGTTTTTAGAGACCGGGGGACGGTAGGAAGAGAGGGTACAACTGGGCTTTCCCTTCTTTGAGCCACAGCAGAGGTTGCAAACTGGTGGCTCTCAAGTACAATTAGGTAAGAAGACAGATACCTGACTTGTAGTTAGTTTATAAAATTGAATTTGTTCATAACAAAAAACATCTGAGGATTTGGCTTCTCTGAGAACATCAGAACATTCTGGATCCTAAATCTTCTCCCAGCCACAATCACATGCAGGTGAGGAAGGGAGCCAATCTTCTCTAGGAGGCCAACAATCCCACTCAGCAACTTACTCACGGGGTTGCTTTTCTTACATTAATGTTGTGTTCAGCCAGTTCTGACTTATGGCAACCTGTAACTTAGGGTTTCTGAGAAGCAGTTGACCTTACAGGTAGCAGTCTAGTGCTTATCCTAGAGCGCCACTCCAGGACTACGTTTCTTACATGTTATTGTTAGGTGTCAATGAGTCAGTTCTGACTCACAGTGAACTTGTATAGGGTTTCTGAGGCTGTAAATCTTAGCAGGAGCAGCTGGTGGGCTTGAACCACAGACCTTGTGGTTCTGTGGACGCACTCTACCAGCATTACTCCTCACGTGATCTGCAGGGCCCCACTTGGTAAGAATGTCACAACCCCCACTGTCTAGCACATGCTGCCTTTCCCAGCAGATTGGGGTGCCTCACAACACAAACAAGCTCTCCACTGAGAAGCATCACAACCTGGTGCAAATGGGAGGAAGGCTGCTACCTGGTGCCGTTGGCTGATGCCTGGCTATGTGGCCTTGCATGGCATGGAATCCATGGCTCTCCTATGCTGCAGAATAGGCTAGTAACGAGCTGTGGCCCGAGTGTGATAAAAGGTCTACAAACAGGCCTGGGTGAGTGAACTAAGCCAAACCTTATCTGGGGACGGGACTGGACTCACTCACCAACTGTGCCACTGGTAAGACTAGTGCCAACACTGTGCACTATACAACCTGGGGCGATGTCTCGCTCTCTCTCACACTGGTGACATGGTAGGTGTGTACATTTGTTATGACAATCTGCTTGCAGATTGTAGCCAGGATTTGTTCCAGCAGAATCAGTGTATTCGGACTATTTTCTGACACATGAAGGTAAAAATGTTTTGAGGACAGGGTACCAATTTCTAATTTACATGAAGCTGCCATTAGGTGGTGAGCTAGACCCTGGGTTTGGCTAAGGTGAGCCACTTCCCTTGTATCTCCTAAGCATAGTTCTACAAGGAACTTCCAGCTTTGCAGACTATATGTTCTGGGACAAATGTGTTTCTCTGTCTGGTGCAGTACACTTCACATTGACACTCTAGTCCACACATTGACAGTGGGCATGTGGACAAACATGAGAACGTCAGGGTCTCTGCAGTCCTATTTTGATGCTCTAGCCCAGGGGCCCTTGTGGGTGGAGGAAGAGAAACACTAGGGTGTGGCTGACTAGCATGAAGGCCAGGCTTCATCAGACAGCTATTCAGAGCAGTTGATGAGACAAATGGCCTCTTTCCTGCTCCCAGAGTCTTAATTTCAACATCAACACATCGAGTTCTGTCATAGGCTTCCATTGGCCTCACCACTCACCTCCAACATCCGGGACCGTCGAATTGTAATGTGAGTGACGTGTGGGGATGCAGAGCTGGTCTCCACAAGCCCTAGTTTCTCCTTCTCCTTGGTAACCATGTTTCGAAACAGGAGAACTCTCTGAAAGGAGCAAAGGTGGGATCAGAACTTAAGCCAACAAAATACTTCACAAAATCATCAACGTTAAAGTCACATGCTGTGGGAAGTAACCAGAAGGGACACTATGGCATGAGCTGCTGGCTAGAAGTATCTTGTAAGAACAGTGACTGTTCCCGGAAACATTTCTGGGAATGAAAGATCAGTTAACCCTTGAACAACATGGGGGTTAGGGGTGCTGAATCCCAGGCAGTTAAAAGTCCATGCGTAAATTCTGACTCCCCCAAACTTAACCACTACTATCCTACTGTGGACTGGAAGCCTTACGAATAACCTAAGCAGTCGATTAACACAGAGTTTGCATGTTACATGTATTATACACAGCACACCTATATAAAAGCTGAGTTTTCAATATGAGGTAAGAAGGTATTTTGTAAAACGTGCAAGATTTTCATGCACTGCTGGCTTAGCTGCAGCGACAGCTTCCCAAGTCTCCTTTTTGTTTTCTGACAATGGTCCTTACCGCTGGATTTATTTATTACGAAATGGTGGACAGCCACAGCTGCAGATCAAACCAACCAACTTTTTCTTGTCATGACTTTTCTCTGCGTCCTAGAACTACTTCCAGCATCAGTAGTGGCAGTCTACATGGGTCCAAGGGTGCTAGTCAAACGTTTACAGCATTGCACTAAATACAATGAAAAATGCACAAGAACTACAAGAAATCCTTTTTTATTATGATATGCAATCTACTAGAGAAGCGACATGGTCATGCAGAGATGATTAGGGTCACATGGCATTAAAAAAAACAACAACAAAAAGGATCCCCATAGAAGTGGACCTGTGCAGTTCTAGCCTGTGTTGTTCAAGGGAAAACTGTATTGTTGAATCCTTGCCAAGGAAGAAATGGTCCACCCAGAAAACTGCTTGGCAGTAGCCAGAATGATCCAGGGGAAAGCCTCGCTCCCCTTCAGTTGATAATCCACAGTAGAAACCTAGCAAAGATCAAGTCACAGAGCTGTTCTAGACAGATGCACCTGCTTTAAAGGAAATCAATATTACGAAAGGAAAAAATCAGGAACATTTCAAGGCTAATACTTTTCACTGACAGAAATTTAAAAAATGGTCCTAGAGTATAAAGCTTTTTGACCTTTTATCTGTGCCCACAGGCCAGGCCCTCAAGCACACCAGAGTCTCCCCAGTAATATTTCTCAACTGGAATTTGAAAAGACTCCTCTCCCGAGGCTCAAGATTTAGAAATGTCAAAAGAAATATCCAACAGTTCTGTTCATTAGGTAGCTAGGTCTTAATAACTTCATATATTTATGTCTTAAGAACTTAGTAGCTAAATTTAAAAACAAAAATATCCCACATAACTTAAAAATGAAATACTGTATTTTTATTTCATTTAAAAATCACTACACGTGTGTGCTAGTAGGACATGTGTGCATGTTGGGCATTGTACAGCTTCTGAAACTCCGGTATTGGATTGCATGCCACCACCTTCAATTCCTGTTCCACACTGATTTTTATCATAGCAACTCTGAAAACTCAGCTTTGTATACAATATCATCAAAAAGACAGTAGTGCAATCTGATATTGAAACTCAACTACCATAACTGGAAGGTGTCATGGTGACCAACATAGCTCACTGTGTTTCTCTTGCAGATCTGAAACCTCCTGAGGCATCATTTGTGAATGGCAAATACACAGGATAGAGATTCTAGGCACCATGTGATGGAAATGCTGTGGTCATAATGCCTAACAGGACTGAATCCACAGACAAATAGGTTTTAAATCTGAGACCACCAAAGTGGAACAGGCTCAGGAAAAAATGGGCTGGGGTACCACTTCCAATTAGGAATACCTGGAGACTTGAAAAACAGAAGACTCAGAGGACTAACAAGCATTGTCTACAAATCTCAGAAGGTTTACTTCACAGATTAGAGGTTCCCTTTTTGGGGACTGTTCAAGGACCAAAGGCATAGGAATTACAGAGTAGACTGGTTTAATATGAGGCAGAGTGTTTTATCACTTGGGAGAGTACGGATATGAAGCCCCAGGTTTTTCTATCAGTGGTGAGTTTGGGGATAGAAGCGGTTCCCTCAACAAGGGTCTGTTTAGCTAGGTAATCTCCACCCAGTCCCTTCAATTCTGACTGTCTGCTGTCAAGAGAACTAAGAATTTGAACAGTCACACCCGTCTGGACATCACTGCCTTAGAATAGCCACCACAACTATTAGAATCAAGGTCGAAACAACATCAGAGAGCAGCAAGGGTTAAGTACCTCAGCCAAGTGAAGATTAATTATCAACCATTTGAGATCAAAAGGGCAACACTTATCCAAGGACAAAGTGCAGAAAGGTTCGGCAAGGAGGAACGGTAATGGGAGAAATGAAACAAAACATGTCTGAATTGTGCAATGGACAGGTAAGGTTTAATCTATAATAAAAGGAGTTTTCTTTAAAAAAAACAAACAAACACAAATGTCTACTTTGTTTAAGAAATAAACAGGGTACATCTAGACCCTAAAGAGCCATATCCACAGGACACCCCTTTCAAGGTCTCTTATGTCTGTTGACACCACACTGTCTGGTTTCCCTCCTGCCTCTGATTACCCCATCTACCCAGGCCGGCTCGGTAAGTGATGGATCCCCACAGGGCTCTAGCCTTGTTGTTGTTAGGTGCCATCGAGTTGGCAGAATGAAACACTGCCCGATCCTGGGCCAACCTCACTACTGTTGTGACACTTGAGTCCATCGACGCTGCCACTTGGCCAATCCATCTCATTGGGGGTCTTCCTCTTTTTCTCTGACCCTCCACCTTAACAAACATGATATCCTTCTCCAGCGACTTGTCTCTCCTGACAATATATTTGAAGTATGAGAGACGAAGTTTGGCCATCTTGGCCTCCAAGGAGCACTCTGGCTGCACTTCTTCCAAAACAGATCTATTGGTTCTTTTGGCAGCCCATGGCACTTTCAATATTTTCCTCCAACACCATAACTCAAAAGCATCAATTCTACTGTTTTCCCTATTCACTGTCCAGCTTTCGCGTGCATATGAGGTTATTGAAAATACCATGGCTTGGGTCAGGTGCACCTGAGTCCTCAAGCTGACATCTTTGCTCTTCAACACTCTAAAAAGGTCTGTGCGGCAGATTGCCTAATGCAATACGTTGTTTGATTTCTTGACTGCTGCTTCCTTGAGTGTTGATAGTTGATCCAAGAATAATGAAGTCCTTGACAACTTCAATCTTTTCTCTGTTGATATGAATGTTGTTTATTGGTACAGTGGTGAAGATTTATATTTTCTTTACATTGAGATGTAATCCATACTGAAGGCTGTGCTCTTTGATCTTCATCAGTTAATGTTTTAAGTCCTCTTCACTTTCAGCAAGCAAGGTTGTATCATCTGCATATCGCATGTTGTTAATGATCTTCCTCCAATCCTGATGCCACGTTTTTCTTCATAGAACCCAGCTTCTCGTATTATTTGCTCAGCATACAGGTTGAATAAGTAGGGTGAAAGAATACAACCTTGTTGCACACCTTTCTTAATTTTAAAACATTCAGTGTTCCCATGTTCTGTTCGAACAGCTGCCTGTTGGTCCATGGACAGATTCCTCATGAGCACAATTAAATGTTCTGGAATACTCATACTTCGCAATGTTGTCCATAGCTTATCATGATCCACACAATTGAAGTCCTTTGAATAGTCAATAAAGTCCAGGTAAACATCTTTCTGATATTCTCTGCTCTCCAAGATCCATAGGACATCAGCAATGATATCCCTCGTTCCCCGGCCTCTTCTGAATCCAGCTTGAACCTCTGGAAGTTCTCTGTCAATGTATGCCTGCAGCCATTTCTGTATTACCTTTAGTAAAACTTAACTCACATGGGATATCAAAGAGATTGTCCGATGATTTCCACATTTCATTGGGTCACCTCTCTTTGGAATGGGCACAAATACGGATTTCTTCCAATCGGTCAGCCAGATAGTTGTCTTTCAAATTTCTTGGCAGAGATGAGTGAGTGCCTCCTGTGCCACCTCACATTCTTGAGACATTTCAATTTTGATTCCATCAATTCCTGGTGCCTTGTTCTTTGCCAATTCCTTCAATGAACCATGGACTTCCTCCTTCAGTATCATTGGTTCTTGATCATATGCTACCTCTTGAAACGGCTAAACATGAACCATTTTCTTTTGATACAATGACTCGATATTCCTTCCATCTTCTCTTGATGCTTTCTGCATCATTCAATAATTTGCCCCGAGAATCTTTCAATAACGAAAGTCGAGGCTTGAATTTTTTCTCCAGTTCCCCAGCTTGAGAAATGCGGAGCGTGTTCTTTTTTGGTTTTCTGATTCCAGATCTTTGTACATTTTGTTGTAGTATTTGGCTTTATCTTCTGAAGCTGATCTTTGAAATTTTCTGTTCAGCTCTTGGACCTCCTCATTTCTTCCATTTGCTTTAGCATATCTATGCTGGAGAGCAACTTTCAGTGTCTCGTCTGACAACTATTTTGACCTTTTCCTTCTTTCTTGTCTTCTCAATGACCTTTTGCTTTCTTCATGTATGATGTTCTTGATGTCATCCCCAAACTCTTCTTGTCTTCTGTCTTTAATGTTTAACGTATCAAATCTGTTCTTCAGATGATCCCTAAATTCAGGTGAGATATAGTCAAAGTCATATTTTGACTCTCGTGGACTTGTTTTAATTTTCTTCAGCTTCATTTTCAACTTGCATATGAGTAATTGATGGTCTGTTCCACAGTCTGCCCCTGGCCTGGTTTTGACTGATATGGAGATTTTCCATCATCTCTTTCAGCAGATGTGTAGTCAATTTGATTTCTATGTAGTATTCCATCTGGTGAGGTCCATATGTTTAGTCATCTCTTATGCTGTCTAAAGAAGGTATTTGAAATGAACAAGTCATTGATTTTGCAGAATTCTTTCATGCGTTCTCCAGCATCATTTGTATCACCAAGGCCATATTTTCCAACTACTGATCCTTCCTCTTTGCTCTCAACCTTTGCATTCCAGTCACCAGTAATGATCAATACATCTTGATTGCATGTTTGATTAATTTCAGGTTGAAGAAGTTGGTAGAATTCTTCTACTTCATCCTTACTGGCTTTAATGGTTGGTGCGTAAATCTGAATAATATTGGTATTAACTGGTCTTTTCTGTAGGTGCCGGATACTATCCTATCACAGACAGAGCTGGACCTCATAACTGCTCTGGATATGTTCTTTTTGATAGAAGAGTTGGATACATAAAGGACGTTCGTGATAGTTGAGGTTTTGTGTCAATTTGACCAGGCCATGATTCTCAGTGGTTTGGCAATTAAGATGTTGTAATTCCCTATGATGACATCTAATATCATGTTGCTGCTGTTCAGTGCCATCAAGTGGGTTCCAACTCATAGTGACCCTTTATAGGGTTTCCAAGGAGCAGCTGATGGGTTTGAACTGCTGACCTTAGTTCTTGTTTTCTCAGTCCAACTCCCTGACTACCTCTCGCACGTCCATGGCTGCAGTTATATAACGTATGAGAACTGAGCGCTAATTTCATGTAGCTTCTATCTCTGGCTCAGGCCTCTCTCCTGTATGCCCACTCAGCTCCACGAACAGACAGACAGCTCAGATCTTACCTGCTCAAAGCTGAATTCACCATCACTTCCCTAACACGCTCCTGCCTCTTGCTCCCACTTCATGGAATGGTTTCCTCCAACCACCCAGTTGCCCAAGCCAGAATCCTGGGCATCACTTAAATCCCTTCTTTCCCTCTCCTTGTAACCAGTGCTGCCCTTTAAGAATCTCTTGCTTTATCCTCTACTCCCAAGGAGCCCTGGTGGTGCAGTGGTTAAGTGCTTGGTTATGAACTGAAACGTTGTAGTTCAAACCCAACAGCTACTTCAGAGGAAAAAGGTAATCTGCTTCTGTAATGATTTATAGCCTTGGAAACCTCCTGGGTAGTTCTACTCTGTCATTCCAGGTTGCTCTGTGTCAGAACTGACTTCACAGCAGTGGAGTTTGATTCTGGAGTTCCCATGGTCCTGTGCTAGTCTGGGCCAGACTATTGTGACAGCCCCTTGCCTCCAGCTCATCCGCCACATTACAGCCAGAAGCGTCTTTCTAAAGTAGTTCTGACCAGATGCCTCCCAAGTGTAAAACCCTTCCAAAGCTTCTGATAAAATCCATGCTTTTGGTTTATAAGGCCCTGTTTGCGCTAGTTCCTCTCAACCTTCCTTGCTTAACTTCCTCCCTTACATTCTCTTCAGCCAGACTATACTTTTGTTTCCCCAACAGCATCCACTTCTCTCACCTGGAGCCTTTCAACACTCTCCACTTTTATGGGTGGAGCCTTTCCCGGAATCTCCCCTCATTCTCAGCTGGCTTAGGTGTGCCTATGTTCCAACAACATCACATCTATTCCTTCCCCAGAGCTGCCAGCTCACACTGTCGTTTCTTTGTCTGGGCCCCAGCACTTAGTATGTTGTTGCTAGGCACAGTCATGTACATTTTGACTCATAGTGACTCTATGCACAACAACGGAACACTGCTCAGTCCTGTGCCATTCATTCCCACAATTGCTGCTGCCACTGTGTCAATCCACTCTGTTGGGGGTGGTGGTGGTGGTGGTGTCTTCCTCTTTTTTTACTGACCCTCTACTTTTCCAAGCATGATATCCTTCTTCAGGGACTGGACCCTTCTGATAACATGTCCAAAGTATTGGAGATGAAATCTCGCCATCCTGACTTCTAAGGAACATTCTGGCTGTGCCCCTTCCAAGGCAGATTTGTTTGTTCTTCTGGCAGTCCATGGGACTTACAATGTTCTTTGCCAACACCATTGTTACTGTTGTTGTTATGTGCCGTGGAGTCGGTTCCGACTCATAGCGACCCTACACATGGTTTCCGAGGCTGTAAATCTTTACGGGAGCAGACCGCCTCATCTTTATCCTGTGGAACTGCTGGTAGTTTCGAACTGCTGCCCTTGCAGCTCGCAGCCCGATTCATAACCTCTATGCTACCAGAGCTTTAATTGAGATAAATTGATTCTTCTGCAGTCTTCCTAATTCACTATTCAACTTTCACATGCAAGGGAGGCAACTGAAAAAAGCATGGTACACCTTAGTCCTCAAAGTGACATCTTTGCACTTTATCACTTTAAAGAGGTCTTTTGTAGCAGATCTGTCAATTGCAATATGTCATTTGATTTCTTGCCTGCCCTCTTCCATGAACACTGATTGTGGACTGAAGCACAATGAAGTCTTTGATAATTTCACTGTTATCCCCATTTACCATGATGTTATTTATTGGTCTAGTTGTGAGGGTTTTAATTTTCTTTACATTCAGGTGCAACCTATATACCGAAGGCTTTGATCTTCATCACTAATATTTCAAGTCCTCTTTGCTTGCAGCAAGCCAGGTTGTGTCATCTGCATATGCAATCAGTTTGCTGAATGAATGTTCATTTATTCATTTCCAATAGTGATAATAAAGATAGGACTTCTGGGTGGCACAAACAGTCTGCACTCAACGACTAACTTAAAGGGTGGCGATTGGAACACCCCTAGCAGTATCAGAGGAGGCCTGGAGTGGGTGACTGCCACGTAAACCCTATGGAGCACAGTTCTTCTCTCTAACACACAGGATCACCTTGAGTAAGAATCAAATCAAATTAATTCAATAGTAATGGGTCTGTTTTGTTTCCTAGTAAGAACATGGTAGTATGTCAGAAACAAGCAAAAATAAGCTCTTTAGTTTTCTTATTTGTAGGGACTGGATTGTGACACCTTAATTCGCACTCCTGGTGTGGTGCTGCAGAATAAGCACTGGCCCACAAGGTCAGTTTGAACCACAAGATAGGTGGTTCAGACCCACCAGTTGCTCCTCAAAAACCCTATACAGGGTCACTAGGAATCGGAACTGACTTGACAGCATTTAGCAACCACAACCTTCTTAACTGAGGCCTAAATCTCTGCCTTACTCATGCCTGAGCAGCACGGAATCCTGGGTAAGTCTTCATTGGTAGTATGTTTATTGATGACAGGTGTGGACTCTTAGTCCCTATCTAGGACAGACACAAGTGGCACTTAGTAGGTACTTGATGAGCACCTGTGAATTAATGATTAAACATCTGAATGAATGCAGGAGTCAAGGAACCTTTTAAGACACCATTTATCTGAAACTCACGTTTTTGTGAGGAATTACATGAGGGATGTACTGCAGAATCAGCTGTGCCCGCTTTCTATCCTTGTCCAGTTCTTGGAAGAGCACACTGGGTTTGAGGTCCCTTAAGAAGAGAGATACAGGGATGAGATCATTAAAGCCAGAGCAGCACTCTCTAGGGCAGGGCTGGCAACTACAGTCTGTGGGCCAGCTCCAGTCGGCTTGCTGCCTGTTGGTGCAGACAGCATGATATTGGACCACTGCCACACTCACTGGTGCCCGTATCGCCCACGGCTGCTTTCACACAGCTAACTAACTGCAACAGAGACGGATGACCTACAAAGCCTGCCACATTCCTGATCTGGGCCTTGACAGAAAACATTTGCCCATCTCTGCCCTGCTGCCACCACTTCGAGAGTTACATAAGAGCTGAATACCAACGACACAGATTCTGACATCAGGCAGGAGGCTAGCATTTGATGTCCTCCTAAACAATGAGCCGCAGTTTTCACTCTGGTTGTTTTGCTGGTCCACTGACATTGAACTATCAGACTCTGCTGCTCAGTAGGAGTGGAAGAACTTTCTGTCCCAGTTAGGACAAGAAACATTTGCTAAATGTGATCTGGCTTTGTCACTATGAATTAACTCTAATCAAATTCAACATAAGCCTCTCCTAACAGCAGTGGCTGCTAAGTGACCCGAGCTGATAGCGCTTCAAAGAAACGGCAGCTCTCTTTATGTCTGAGAAAGGACAGGATGAAGGAGGGAACATGAGTGCGGAGCCCCAGGCACTCTGGCTCCCAGTGAGCCCCCTGCCCAGCCTTGCTGCTCACTTGCGCAGCCAGTGGTCCTCGGGGGCAAAGCGCCGACGGCAGTCCCGCTCATAAAGCACCATCAGCCACCCGTGGACGGACTGGAACAGCTCCAAGGTCTCACCCTTGGCGTTTTCTGCAGGACATACAAATGAGTGAGTGACACTGGGGGCAGAGGTGATCAGGCATAAAGAGGGGAGGGCAGCATCTCATCTCCTCGGCCATCACCAAGTCCTTAATCTCCCTCTCTCCGGATCTTAGTGAGGTCAAAGAAATGAAAAGGCATTCAAGTCTGTCAGACTTGAGGCTCACTTGACATACCTATTCAAGCTGCCTTCCCCCAGCATGCCATACTGGGGATGCCCAGGACCCCTGTGAATCAAGGAATGTTTTACTGAACAACTGACAGCACAATTCTGATTTCAAGTGTGAACCAACTCCAGGCATCACAAGGACTGAGATGCAGGGCCTAACTGATCATTATTAGTAATCCTTGGTGAGGCGAGTGAGACTTCTATTTTATCTTGTGAAGTCACAGAGTGTGAAGAGAGGAAACACCCAACTATGTGAATAAGCACGAACAGACATTTTCAGTAGACATTTTCAATGACGTGTGATAAACAATCAAGTTAAGAATTGGTTGATGTTCTAGGTGCCTTACAGCTTCCAGGAATGAATCATTAACTACCTGAAAACTCTCACCCCTTCACCTTACCTACAATTCCATCCCAGATCATCTTAAACACAAAGGAATTCAGGAAAGAGGAGATGGTGACCAGTTCTTCGAGTTTGAATGAAATTTGTTCTTCATACACCTCAATGTCATCAAGAATCCTACATCAGGCAGAAAATTATTTAGAATTTCCCAACAAGAAGATAAAAAGAGAATGGTACCATTTATTAGACAAAATAAGCAAGGTTTAGTAGTAAGCTCTATTCTGATTATAGTTAAAAGCTACTAATGAAAGTTTATAGATAAAAAGACATGTTTAGGGAATGATTCAAAATAACCTGGGTGACTGGCGCAGCTGGGGGTTAAAGAAGAAACACAACTAACTGGTCCTAAGGAGATAATTGTGGAAGCTGGGTGATGGGTACATGAGGGTTTACTACCTCTCTCTCTACTTTATTTTGAAAATTTCTATAGTAAAAACTTGGAAAATACATAATGAAGTAAATACATAAAATACATAGTAAAATACATAACTAAGCACAAAAGAAACAAAACAAAACAAAAACACATAAGCTCTACTCCCTATTTGTAAGGGTCTGCCTGTGACATTTTCCTAATTCAGGTCTCAACTTGTGTCTTATTTATGCCTGAGCATCATGGGACCTTGGGCAACTCTTGATTAGGAGTCTGTTGACTGAGGGAAGCTGTGGAAGCTTATTCTGCCATCTTAGGCAGACATTACTGATACTTCGTGGGTATGGGCTGAGGAGGTATAGTTGAATGAATGTGGCTCCATGTATGAACCAATGAGCCGCTTAAGACACAGCTCTCTATCTGAAGGCTTCAGAAAACAGCCTTATCTAGTTTAGAACAAGACTCACCCACAGGACATCCTGCACCAGAAAGTAAGACCCACTCTCCCATGCCTCTGCACCTACGGATCCCTGGTCCCTTCCTGCCAGTGTGTTCTACGTCTGAATGTAGCGCCTGAGGTCCACGATCTTACAATTCTTTGCCAACCTTTTGGGGGAAAAGTGGAATGACAAGAATATAAGGTAGACAGGGAACCATGTACCATTTATTGCTGTCCTGCTCTGGGCCAGGGAGTGTACTAAGTACTTGACATTTCTTCCTCTCATTTAATCCAAATTAGCACCCTTCCACTAATGAGCAGCTGCAGGCAGACATGGTAAACGGCCTGCCCTGGGGCAGTATGAGAACTAAGGCTAACAGTGAGCCCTTCAGCTTCCGGGGACTGTGCTGAGCCAGCGCTCTGCAAGCAGCACCTCTTCTTCTCCTAGGGCCACATCCCTTGGAGGTGGGCGCAACTGTATCCCCTCTATACATGAAGTAACTGGGGCTCAGAGAGGCTGAACTCCCCACCCACTTGGCCAGGGTGTCATAATTAGTAAGTAGCTAAGGAGCTCTGGTCGCTATGGGTCGGCTCCGACTCGAAGGCACTTAACAACAACAGCACAGGAGCTCTGGTAGCGTAGTGGTTATGAATCGGGCTGCAAACCTTAAGGTCAGCAGTTCGAAACTACCAGCCGCTCCACAGGAGAAAGATGAGGCTTTCTGCTCCTGTAAAGACTTACAGCCTCGGAAACCCTGTACAGGGTCGCTATAGGTCAGAATCGACTCAACGACACTTAACAACAACAAGAAGCTAGGTTTTGCAACCTGGCTGTTTGACTCCAGAACTTTCCAATCAACTATTTATTACACTTACTACTTTGAACCAAACTCAGAAGCCCTAGTAACACTGTGAGATACGCATATGTATAGGGCTGCTAACCGCAAGGTCAGCAGTTCAAACTCACCAGCTTCTCTGCAGGAGAAAGATGAGGCTTCTTGCTCCAGTAAAGATTTATAGCTTGGAAACCCTATACAGAGTCCTATGAGTCAGAGGGAATGCATTTCTGGCCAATCCCACACTCTACACTCAGTGGTACTGTCCCAGCTTCCTGAAAGGCCAGGAACTAGCTAGCACCTGCTGAACACTCACTAGAAGCCACTTACTTGGGATGTTTTCCCATCTGATTCTTATAATGATCCCACCACACACACGAGGCCAAATGAATGCAGCAGTCATGTTAGCTAGTGTGTCCTTACTGACACTGTAATTTGGTCTCTTGGAACACCAGGTGAGGAAGTCAGCCCTCCAGCAATGAACATACGTGATAAGGTGCCTGGAACAGTCACAAAACAGAATCAGCATGGCCAAGAGCTGCTTGGATTCCTCGGTGTCGTTGTTCAGGCATTCCAGGAAGAGCTTTAACCCTCCGTGGGGTCCCAGCTCACAGATAAATGCCCACAGTTTGGGCAGTAGGTCATCAAGGTAAGTGAGCCCTGGAAAAGGACAGAGAAATCCAGGCTTCAGGTGGGGCTCCAGCTGCTCCAATGTGTCTTCCGCACGTTGCAGAAGCCAATCACTTAAACCTATTAGTGAGCATGCAGTTATTAATAAAATCATTACCATCACAGGAGTACCAACGATAAGAATACCAAACATCAAGTAGCTGCTGACTACGTGACAGATCGCATTCTAAGTACTGTGCATGCATTGTTTCCTTACACCCTGGAAAGCCCAATGTTACTCCACTTCCTAAGTGAGAAAACTTATATCTACAAGAGGAGGAGGCACAGTCACAGATTCTTCCTAGATGTCACCAGACAATTCGTGGAATTGGTGAGAAGACTGAAGAGCTTAGGACCATCATATATAATATAGTTCATAAAGTTTATGTTCTATACCTTAGTTTGGAGTGCTGGCATGGTGCTGTAGGATAAGCATGAACCGCATAGTCACTTTGAACTTTAAGACCAGTGGTTCAAACTCACCAGCTGCTCCTTGGAAACCCTATACAGGGTCGCTATGAAACAGAACTGACTCGATGGCACTTAACCAACACCAGCATCACCACCCTAGTTTGGTGAGTAGTGCCTAGGGTTTTACAGGCTTATAAGTAGCCATCAAAGATACAACTATTGGTCTCTACTTGGCTGGAGCAGAAGTGAATGAAGGCGACCAAGGCTTCAAGGGAGAAACAAGCCCACAGGGCAAATAGCCCACATGCACCACGGCCTCTTTCTAACCTGAGGCCAGATGAACTAGATGGTACCTGGCTATCATGACTGACCATTCTGATCAGGGACCCAACAAATAGTCCCAGATAGAGTGGGAGAAAAAGGCAGAACCAAACACAAATTCATAAAAATGACCAGACTGATAACTACTAGAAGAATCTTTCAAACTATTGCCCCAAGAGACCCTTTTAACCTAGGACTAAAATTACTACAGGAGGTCAACTTTCAGGCAACTAATGTTGTTGTTGTTAAGTGCCATCGAGTCAGTACCGACTCATAGCAACCCTATGCACAACAGAATGAAACACTGCCTGATCCTGGGCCAACCTCACAATTGTTGCCACACTTGAGCCCATTGATGTTGTCACTTTGCCAATTCATCTCACTGGGGGTCTTCCTCTTTTTCTCTGACTCTTCACCCTACCAAACATGATATCCTTCTCCAGTGACCGGTCCCTTCTGACAATATGTCTGAAGTATGAGAGCAAAGTTTGGCCATCTTGGCCTTCAAGGAGCACTCTGGCTGCACTTCTTCCAAAAACGGATCTATTGGTTCTTTTGGTAGCCCATGGCACTTTCAATATTCTCCTCCAACACCATAACTCAAAAGCATCAATTCTTCTACAATCTTCCTTATTCACTATGCAGCTTTTGCATGCATATGAGGTTATTGAAAATACCATGGCTTGGGTCAGGTGCACCTTAGTCCTCAAGCTGAAAACTAAGAGATTGGATTCTAAAACAAACAGTAGCACTCGAGAGTAATGGGTCCCTTAAATAATGATGTACATGAAACCAATGCCCATTCAAAAACAAAGATGAGAAGGCAAGAAGGGGCAGGGAAGCTAGATCAACAGAAACAGAACAAACGGAGTGGAAATAATGAGAATGTTGACACAATGTGAAAATTGCAACCAATGTCAAGAAACAACTTGTATAAAAATTGTTATATGGAAACCAAATTCACTGTGTAAACCTTTATGTAAAAACAAAGCATCGACATTTAAAAAAAGAAAAAACCCTATGGGGCAGTTACTTTGAATCATATGAGGCAGAATCGACTTGATGACAACTTGTTTGGTTTTTGGGTTTATAAACAGTTGATGAATATATACATGTGAAAGAGGGAAGCAGTAGCAATTCATGAGTCAAAAATGCAAAAATGCAGTAGAGCTGTCCCTAATCCTTCATACAGTACAGCTTCAGCAGTTTACTAGGAGCCTTTGCACTCAGCCTTTGCACACAGCAGGGGGCTTCCTTTCAGGTGCAGCAAAAAAGGAAAATGTTGGGCGTTTACATGTGATAAGACATTATGTATGCAGTGAATACAATACAGGATAAAATGTTCATGATGGTCAGTTATGGAAAGGCCAGCTTTTATCAACACAGTGGATTTATCTACACCTAGACTGAGGGTTGTGGGATTCAGAGTGGTAATAACTTTCCTTCTTTCTAGCTTTCCACCACAAACATGCAAGCTCTTTGTATTCAGAAAAAAAACGGTTGTTTACACTAATATTTTACACCAAAAACAAGAGTGAACCTGAAGGAACACACTGGAAGTGCTGTGATTGAAACTGGAACTATTTAACTGAGGCGAGCCCATCTCTAAAAGGAATAGCGTCAAAGGGTCCTCCTTCAGAATCAGTTTTCTGACTCAAGGAAGCTAAGAGAAAATCCACTTTTGCTAAGAACAAGTGTTGGCTGAGTTTGGGACTGCAGACCTGTGAGTATCTGTAGCCGGATCTGAGTTAGCGTTGTCAGCGAGGTCTGGTAGAGGACACAGATGTTGCAGACTTTCTGTACTTCTGCAGAGTCAACACGTTTACCTCCGACAGGCTTGAGGATATTCCGGACTGAGGCCGACTTCTGAAACGCACGCTTTAGGAGATCTAGCATGGAGAAGGAACAAGTGTGAGCCGAGGCAGGTCAGACATCTGTCAGAGGAAGAGCATGCTCAGAGCCAGACTGTGGGGCTGCTGCTATGATTCCAGTTGTCTCGTGGACATAAATGACAAAACTCAATAGACATTTTCAGAATCTCTGAAAAGTTCTCAGGCAAGCCCAGCAGAGTCAATTCTTACCTGGGATTCTTTTACCGTTACCACTTAACTTTAGAATGCGCAGAGGTAAAAATCTGGAAGACTCTACTAAGCATTGGAATAACAACCAATAAGGTTGATGGCTCACATACCTACAGATACCTTGGAAAACAGGCCTGGAGATGTGCTTCCGAAAGGTCGTAATATTGAACGCTCTATGAAACAGTTCTCCTCTGCATCCTGAGGTCACCAGGGGTCAGAACAGACTCAGTGGCAACAACATTAAGGAGTAAGAAGCAAAGGTGAGGGAATCTGGTTGACTCTGAATTTCCCTGCTTTTTGAAGGAAGCAGGACCGTATGACTTTAAATACTGGTAAAGATAACTAGGAGCACTTCTACCTGGTTATGAATTGTATTCTGCTCCTCTTCCACTTATGGCCTGCTGAGGCTACCTCCACTGAGCCCAGTTGCACTGAGAGCTGAAAGATAGCACTTGGCAAACACCAATTGGCATCAAAATAGGCAGGGAATGCTACTGAATTAGGTGTTAGGGGCATTTTCTTAGTTTTCGTCAGAATGGGCAATGAGAAGTTTTCCATAGAACCCATTAATGAACCCGCAACAGGGATGTTTATGAGGTGGTGATTCTGTGATTCGGTATAACCCTTAGTAGGTGCCCTATATGACAAAGTTCTTTTAGGAATAAGAATGCAGAAAAATTCTACTTCCAAGGAGAAAGGGTCTTTTTTCTTCTTCCTGTTAATGAGAATTAAGAGAGTCTATAATCCCCTTTACATTTCGGCTACAAGAAAGTTTAGAGCCAAACGTGAACTTCAGAGACAGCCCCAGTGGCCCTCATAGAACACATATATCTGTGGATGCTCTCCATGTACAATCTTGATCTCCTTCACCTGTTCATAGTTCCCAGGCCCTTGTTTAAGGTCTCTGGGTGGCATACGCGATTTGTGATCAGATGCTAACTTTGAGGTTGGCAGTGTGAACTTACCCAGCAGCTCTGTAGAAGAAAGGCCTGGTGTAATACTTCCAAAAGTATTACATTCAAGAAATTTTATGGGGCTGGAATGGGCTCCACAGCAATAGGTCAGGTTTTCTTGGGTTGGTATTTGTTTTCTATTCCCTATTGGTTTTCTATAATTGTTTTGCTATGCACAGACTTGATTTAAGCACTCTCAATGTGTTTGTGGAAGATGTTGCTGATCTATATCAAGTGGGGCATGCACATGGAGACAGTCAGGGGCTACATCTGGCCACACAGATTCCTGGGGAACTGCTGTGTCCCGTACTCACTCTTCACTGGAAGCACGTTCGGTGGGGAAGCTGGCTGCGCAGGTGCTGTCTCTGGGTTCTCCAGTAGCTTCTTGCTTAGGATGTCACTGAAGAAGATGCGGATGAGAGGCACTCCCCACAGGAACTGCAGCTGTTTGGTGATCAAGGGCATTGACTTGTTAAGGCTAGGAGAGAGCCAAAGAGAGGAGGCATGTCAATCCCACTGGAGGGACGGCCAGAGAGAGCCCACTCTGCTCCCTAGTGGGCCTTCCACATGGAGGTCCAGCAAGGTCTTGGCACTCAACAAGGCAAATCAATTAAATGGAGAGAAAGCAGTGAATTGAAATGGAAGGCACTGCCCTCTTCATCTTCTCTGGGCTCCACCCAACTTCCTGTGCTGCTGCCAGTATCCCTGCTGCCCCCAGGTCTCCAGAGCATAGACAGCTCCGAAGCAGTCTGGGAACTTGCTCTGCATGCTGCTGCTTGGGCTTCCTGCTCATGGCTAGCCCTCAGGTCTGGCCCACAACCCTGAAAAACTCAATAGCCTCCTAAGTGTCTCTTCTGGATCCACAGTCTCAGACTCCTCGACCTGAAACTCTGCATTCAGCACCTCCCTGATCAAGGCCCTACAATGCCTCCTGTCTTGGTCTACCAAACGCTGCGACATCACCTCCTGCTGAACAGGGCCAGGCCTCCTGGTGGGAAGTCCTTGGCATGCACTCTCTCATAGGATACTTCCAAGCTGCCTTGTCAAAGGGACTGTGAAAACAGCCCTCGGTTTCAGATGAGGAAACTGGTTTGTGGGGAAGGAGAGACTTGCCTGGAGCCCCTCAGAGGAGAGGTAGTACTGTTGGGCGTCATGTTTTTCATGTTTGTGCTCACCTCTCCAGCCTGCCTCCCAAACATCTCTTTAAGCTGGAGCAAGGAGTATCTTTAACTGGAGACCCACGGATGTCCACTCAGGTACCAGGAAGAGGCAACAAGTTCAGGAAGTTCACTCCCTTACCCCCCCAGCTCCTCCCATAGACACCCATGCCCTCAGGCAGAAATGTGGGCAGGGAAACAGCTGGACACAGCTAACTCTCGGCTCAAGGCACCTCCTCATCTTAGCCCAGGGTTCCTTTTCAAATTCATGAGGCTACCTTACTTCATCTCCATTCTTTATGCCTAGTATTTGAAATCTGTGTCATAAGAAAAGCTAATGTATACTGTGCCTCTTAAGAAAAACAAATTTATACCATTACTAATTGCAAATGTCAAACTGTTAAGGTGGAAGTTTTGTAACAAAATGGGGGAGCAGTTAATCTTACAGTCCAGAAAGAGGACCTTAGGAACATCAAGGGAGAAGAGCATAAGCAGAATGTGGGACCCTATCCAGAGAAGCAGCAACACCAGAGATGGAGGCAGAGATGGAGAGAGGGAGCAGCTGACGTCTCTAGACTCATGGAAAGAGAAGGACTGAGTGCTGACGGCCAGGAGACAGGCTTGCAGCCCTTTGGCTGTTTAAATTATTATATATTCCTGTATTCCTGAGTGTTTTTACATACATGCCCCCACATTCCAAAAAACAAAAAAAAAACCCACCACTAACAACAGAGAGAATAGAAGCAGATACTGTTGAATGATGATACACAGAGAAGATTGTTATCACTGCAATGAAATGATGATGTAAAACTGATGTTCTTCCATGTAAACTATCACTCAATTCACAATAAAAACTAAAAAAAAAAGAAAAACATTCACCACACCTCTTGAAAAAGATTCGGTGTGATATCTATTCCCTTTGAATTTCCCCATCTACTTTAGTTATGCCCAAAATATGGCAGTCTAACCAAAAGATGGACAATTCCTTTAAAATCAAGATGAGAAGGTAAGGGGGCAGGGAACTTAGAGGAATGGAAGCTGAATACGCAGAGCAGAAAGAGTGAGAGTGTCACCCACTGTGAAGAATGTAAACAGTGTCACTGGACAATGTCTGGAGAGATGGCTGAATGGGAACCGAAACGGCTGTGTAAACATTCACTGAAAACACAATAAACTATGATTTTACTTTTTTGTTTGGGTGAAAGTTTAGAGCAGGGGTGGGGAACATCTGGCCTGTGAAATTATTTGGTGCCCTGCCAAGGCAACCGCAGTTTCAGCCATCACACTGTGGTGGCAGTGGTTATTTGCCATTGGAGTCAGTTCCGACTCATAGCGACCCTGTACAGGGTTTCCAAGGCTGTAAATCTTCACGGGAGCAGAAAGCCTCATCTTTCTCCCATGGAGCAGCTGGTAGATTCGCACTGCTGACCTTGAGGTTAGCAGCCCCACTCATAAACCATAATGCACCAGGGCTCCTTATTCATCACATTGTTGTTGCTGTGAAGTGCTGTTGAGTTGGTTTTGACCCATAGTGACCCTGTATATGGTTTCCGAGGAGCAGCTGGTGAGCTTGAATTGCCGACCTAGCAGTTCAAACGGCTTTGCAGTCTGACGCATTAACCCACAGCGCCACACCAGGACTCCCAGTCATTGTTGTTGTTAAGTGTCATTGAGTTGATTCCGACCCATACCAACTCTGTATTGGGTTTCTGAGAAGCAGCTGGTGAGCTTGAACCACTGACCTTGCAGTTCAAATGGCTTTGCAGTCTGGCGCATTGACCCACAGTGCCACACCCAGTCACTGTTGTTGTGAAGTGCCGTTGAGTTGGTGCTGACCCATAGAGACCCTGTGCAGGGTTTCCGAGGAACAGCTGGTGAGCTTGAACTGCTGACCTTGCAGTTCAAACGGCTTTGCAGTCTGGCGCATTAACCCACAGCATCACAGCCAGTCAATAGGGGAGAGTTAATGAAATGTTTGACCAAATATAGCAGGATAATTTTTAAGCTGATAATTTTGTATAGCCCATGAATGAGGTTACCACCCCTGATTTAGAGAGTAAATTAGTATTCCATCCAACAATTTATACACATTTTGCTTTATGACACTGGTTCCAATCCCCTCAATGTAACAGTACTCTTCCTACTTCCTCCCTGGGGTCCCTGTTTCCACTGTCCTTCTTTCCTGCCCCTTCCAGTCTTCTGAGCTTTCTTTTGGGGCAAATGCTGATCTTTCGGTCTCATGTGGTTGACTAATAAAAAAAATCATTAAAAAAATTAGCAGTGTAGCCAATCAACAGTTATGTTGAAGACATAACATTAAAAGATAAAGCAAACAATTTATTAAAAGATCAGATTCTAAAACAACATGGTCTTGTTTTTGTAAAACACAATTTATGGTGCGGCACTATAGGATGAGAGTCCTGGTGTGGCACTGTGGACTAATGCGTCAGACTGCAAAGTCATTTGAACTGCGAGGTCAGTGGTTCAAGCTCACCGGCTGCTCCTTGGAAACCCTATACAGGGCTGCTATGGGTCGGAATCGTCTCGACAGCACTTTAACAACAACAATACTGTAGGATAAGCACTGGACTGCAAGGTTGTGTGAACTGCAACGTCAGCGGTTTAAACTTTCTAGCTGCTCCTCGGAAAACCCACAGAGACTCAGAAATGACTCAATGGCACTTAACAACAGCTGTATGTTTTTTACACAAATAGCGCACACTGTGTCCTAGTTTTCTGACAAACCGTGTAACCCGGCCTCACATTAGCTTTTGACACGTGTTACATTCTTATGCCTGTGCATTGTTGGCATGGACAAAACGACAGAACACCGTGGTTGGCAACCCAGTACTTATCCTACAACACTGCACCAGGACTGACTCTAGGCCCAGTTTATAGTTGTATAATATTAAAGTCATTTCTGAACTGGATAAAGTCCTAGATTATATTCTATTCTTCTAACATTCAAGTCTCACTTCTCTTTCACTGTCTGCCTTCAAAAATTGCTAGTTCATTAAAATACCTTATGCTTTGAAAAAGTAGCTTAGGTAGCATAGTGGTGACAAGTTGGGCAGCTTAAGGTCAACAGTTTGAGACTACCAGCTGTTCTGCAGGAAAAAGATGAGGCTTTCTTCTCCCATAAAGATTTCCAGCCTTGGAAACCCTGTACAGAGTCACTATGAGTTGGAAAAACGACTCCACAGCATACCACCACCACATTTTGAAAAAAAAAAAAAAATTTTAATCTAGAAAAAAGACTGAAAGGAGGTCCATGTAGATTGCTCCTGAGTAGTAGGGTAGGACTATGGGGTGGTTTTAATTTTGCTTTGGTCTCACCTATATTTTATACAAGAAGGCCTGGTGGGTGAAGCATTAGGCTGTTAGCAGCAAGCTCCGTGATTCCAATCCTTCATGGGAGAAGATGAGGCTGTCAGGGCCTCGGAAACCCTAGGCAGTGGCTGTACTTTGACCTTTGGGGTCACTCTGAGTCAGAATCCGCTCTGTGACTGTGGGCTTGATTTGAGTACATTTTATACAGTGACTACATACTACTCTTATGAAAAGAAACAAAAGAACAGCAGCTGAAAGGCAGGAGGAAAGAAGGAAGGGGACTCACCCATAGTCCACAGATTGGGAGAACCAGCCTAGGACAGGGTGCCAGTGGGTCAGGTTGGATTTCTTCTGTGATACATACTTCTGGCAGTAGCAGAGCATCTGGGTGAGCAGGCTCACAAAGCCATCCATCTCCTCCTCTAATACTCTGGGGCTGAGGGAGCCCAAGTGGAGGAGGTTGCCTACCAAGAGAGAAGGCTTGTGTGATGGGCCCGCCCCAGCACCTCCCAGCCCTGCTGCCTGGATGTACGAGCAGCAGTTTCATGTGGACAGGGACTGTGCTATGGGCCGCAGTGCGGTGCCGGCATAGGATAGGTGGGCCTGGAGCCCAATTCTGGTGAGCTGTGTGACTCATTCCTCACCTCTCAAATATGTTTTCTCATGTAAAAAAGATTGTAAGGATTATTTGAACAAACACATGCAAAATGCCAGGCATGTCAGGGTGTGGGATATGTTTAGCTGTCACTACAATTGAATATTATACTGCCTTTTTAAAATTAGAGGCAAGCTGAGAAACGACCCTTTGCAGAGCATCTGGATGTTCTGGGAAATCACTGTGGTTCAATGCTCACCCAAGTTCCTTAAAAACCCTTGTGTGTGAAGTCTCACCACAGTAAATTCCTGTAATATGTAGCCCAAGGCCACGTCTTCTGTACAAAGCACATTTCTCTTGGTGAGGCAGTATGAATGGTGTACCTCTGCTGCTTTTAAACATTTCTATCCACAAACCCTTTCTTCACACAGAGGCCTGTTTGTACAACAGGTGACACAGGCCCTCCAATTTAGCTCCTCCTGACTGCCCTTCTCCCCAGGCCCCGAGAGGACAGGAAGCTCAGCACACTTTCATTTTTTTTCCTTGGCTGCCAGGAAGCTGAGGGGTGAAATCTGCTGCTTATTTCCAGCCACTCAACTAGCTTGCCAGGTTGCAGTAACTCCCATGTGTCTTCGGACTTTGTCTATGTTCCAAGTCTAACCGAGAACACGTCTTTTACTGTGAGGACTTCCAATGCTTATCTCAACCAACTCATGACCTCGATGAGGTTTTCCAAAAGTTCATGGAAAAACAGAAGGAAAGGATCATGCGATTCTTCCAGGAACTCTGGGAAGGTCCCTTGTGGATAGGTGAAAATCAGAAGAGGCTGGCCTTTTCCGACTTGTGGAACACAAACTGCAGTCACAAGAGACTCACCCATCAGACAGAGCGTATGGCAGCCTTCTAAACGCTCACACACGTCACAGCACTGATCTTCGTGTCTTAGAAAGATGATGAATTTACGAAGCATGTCATGAGATTCTAAAACTGTGAGCCGCTGTGAACAATGGCAAACCGTTAAGGCAGAAGCTGGTGTGAGTTGATTTCCATTAAAGCATGCAGGCAATCACCATAACTAGGATGTCTATTGGGGCTCTGGAGATGCAGAGGATTGTGTATTGGGTTGCTAACAGCAAGGTCAACAGTTTCAATTCACCGGCCGTTCCTCAGGAGAAGATGAAGTTTTCTACTCCCGTAAAGATTTACAGCCTCAGAAACCCTATACAGGTTTGCTATGAGTTGGAACGGACTCAACAATATCTAAAAACAACAACAGCAGTGACAGGATGCTTAGTGGGCTTTTTCAGCATCAAGAAAAGAAGGGAAAAGATGAGGACTCAATTCTTTGGGCTGTAATCATGAGTGTGTCATCCTGGCCACTATATTATTGTTGTTAAGTGTCGTCGAGTTGGTTCTGACTCATAGCTGGTGAGTGTGAACACCCAACCTTGCAGTTCAGCTCATTAACCCACAGCGCCACATCAGGACCCCTTATTGGCTACTTGTGTGAAGTAAAATCGAGGAGAAAATAGGGGAATAGAAGAAGAAACGTCATTTTTTAACTTCGAGGGAGAAAAGCAAACTGATTTTGGGGGTGAGAATTTGAGGAATCTACTTACCTCAGGGGTCAGGGTGCTGAGATGGGTCACAAGAGCAGGTACAGACATGATGTGGATGAGGAATGGCCGAAGCAGACTGTCTGAAAATCGTGCAGCGGTCACAGGGCTAGAATACAGACAACCCATTCAGACAGGTCTGTGTGTGCAACCCGACCAAAGAGCAATCCTACCAGTGTTCCCCAGACCCCCTGCAATTACACTCCATGGGACTTCCTGGAAAACTAAAGGCTGAAAATGGAAACATAGGACAGGGAGCTGTTAAGTCAATAATGGTACTATCATTTCATCTAATACCAAATGGCTGTTAAAGATCAGGGTACACAGAAGCTCATGGAACATCTTGGTCAATTGACATAATACAGTTCATAAAGTTAAGGCTCTATAGCCTACTTTGGTGAGTAGTGTCTGGAATCTTCAAGTTTATGAGTGGCTGTCAAAGATATAACTATTGGTCTTTACTTGTCTGGCACAAGAAAGGAGGAAACCAAAGATGCAAAGAAGAAATGAGCCTACAGGACAAAACAGTCTTCATGAACCGTGACTTAGCCTAAGACCAGAAGGACTGGATGGTAGCCAGTACTAATCAAAGCCACACAGATGTGCCCTGCTAGAAGGGGCGAAAAATGGTAAACAGTAAGCCTGGTGTTATTTATGGTTCTATTTTCTTCCAGATTTTTCTCCCACTCTATCTAGGGCCTTCTAATATGATCCCTTTCAGAGTGGTCAATAGAGGTAGCTGGGCGCCATCTAGTTCTTCTGGTCTCAGCGTCATGGAAGCAGAAGTTGATATGGTTCTGGTAAAGCCTTTTGAAGAACAAAAGCTTTTCATGTTTATGAGATCCTATTTATTTGTCTTTTCCTGTTTGTACTTTTGTTATAGTAGATAATTCCCAATTGAAAGCTTGGCCTGACACTTACTTATCTAACAATTTTATGGTGTAGTTTGCACATTTAGGCACTTAATACCCTTTGATTTTGTGTTTGTGTATGATTGTGCATGGCTCCTGTTTCATATTTCAGCATGTGGAAATTCAATTTTCCCCAAACCATTTATTGAAGAGACTCTGTCTTCTTTCCCCATTGAATGAACTTGTCACTCTTGTCAAGAATCAGCTGACCACAGATGTGGTGGCTAACAACAACATGAGACAGTCTACGTGCAGATATGTTTGAGAAGACGTCAGGTTCAACAAGCTCACATGGTCTTGTTGCCACAGACCTTCTCAAAGCAGCAGTGATCGAGTTGTGGGTTGGCAGGAGGGTACAGACAGAGGTGGCAGCGTCTACCATGCAGAGCTGACCATGACACTTTCCTACAGGAGTTCTTATCCACATCCCCCCAACTTAACGGTCCCCTCAGCAGTTGTTTTTGTTAAATAAGTTTTGAACAAGTTTAGCTATTTACACTTGGCAGTTCTCAGAACTGCAGGTGCAATTTCACAAAGGACTATTTAGCTCCTTAGATACTGCACATCTCCAAAGCGACTACTAAGTGAAGACAAATATCACAACCTCTTGGGTCCTCAAATCCTCACATTTTCAATCTGTGTTCATATAAGACTATCCCCTGGATCCTGATACCTGGCCCTTTGCTGGGCCTGCCTTCAGCTCTTAGGTGTCCCATGACTGGGTCAATTAAAAACTGAAAAGAAAAGAGAAAAAAATCATTGCATGTGGCCACTGGCAGTGTGAAAGCCATTCTTTTTGAAGAGACACGCCATTAAGTAAGAAAATGAGCTGCCACAAGTATATCACTCTCACCAAGAGCAATACTTCCTGGATCTTTGGAATGAATTCTGACAACCTGGGTAACCCCAAAACTAACATAAGGACTAAGAAGAAAGAAAACATGAGGAGCAAGCACTGAGTAGCATGACAGACCCAAACTGTGGTTTCTTACTTACCGCAGTGCTAGAGAAAAGGTTGCAGTTAACATGCCTTTGGAGAGAGAGGGCCGGGGTCTGGCCAGGCCACGAGTTAACAGTGTCTGAAAAGAACAGGGGAACTCGTCAGGGGAAGACAGTACCTTTCTATTCATGGGTACACACAGCAAGGGAGCACAAAGAAAATAATAAACATGAAAAACAATTAGCACGGAAAGTAAAATGAGTGCTTTGTATTAAAAAATAACTGTATTGCAATGGTTTAAAAAAGGGAGAGAAGTCATGGGTCTGACTCATTCAGTCACTCTCAAGTTTAAGTATGTGTATAGTTTTTTTTTTACATACTCAGTGATTTTTAAAAATTCATGACTGATTAAAAAAAGAATCAAACTTGTAATGTCCAGATGCCACATTATTTTAAAAGCAGTCCAGGTGAACAACCTCCACTATGAGCTTCCTCTCTGGGGATAAGTTGTTGATCACATCATCAGACAGGGCTGTTGTGAGGAGAAAATGCAGTCCAATATGGACACAGCCCATCACTGGTGCCATGATGGCAAAGTGCTCCCCCAATGGTAGCTCCCAAAGTTAGGGATTCCACAGTGCTTTTCTAAAAGAACTATTAGGCACCTGACACTTCCTTAGAGGGACAAACTGAGCTAGCTGGTGGTGCTGGTGGTGGTGTGCCGTGGAGTTGGTTGTGATTTATAACGACCCCGTATAAGGTTTCTGAGGCTGTAAATCTTCATGGGAACAGAAAGCCTCATCTTTCTCTTGTGGAATGGCTTGCAGTTTAGAACTGCTTACCTTGAGGTTAGCAGCCCGACTTGTAACCACTACACTACCAGAGCTCCTTGGCACAATGAGGTAGAGTAGGAAAAGGCTGTTGAAGCACATGGCCATAGAAATATAATTTCGGACTCTAGCCAATCAAGAAAGAACCTGAGGGAAAAAGCCCTGGAGCCTCCCTCCCAATTTTAAGGTTCAAGTGACTAGATTCCTCTCAGTAACCAAAAATGTGCAGCATTAAACGGGTCTCAGGCCCACTGTCCTGCCCTTACGGAAGCTGTGAGTGACCCCACACAAGGGGACGGAGGAGAGGCTGAGTTTTAAACTCTTCCTGTAAAAAGGTTTTCTATGAAAGGTACCAGAAATCCTGAGATCAAATCTAAGAATGTAAGGTGCGGAAGGTGTGGAGGAGACGTATTGGGGGCGGGGCCACAGACCTGTAGCACTGCATAAAACCCGTGCTGGTTCAGATGTCCCATTATATTTGCACAAATGTGGTTCAAGGCTGGTCGTAGACTCTCACCTAAACAAAGATAAGAGTCAGAAAAAACTCTTTGGCCATAATGTGAACTGTTTTGGGGACAGAAAATTATGTCCTGGGCTCAAGGCCGTAAGGAAATGAGCTAGTCTCTGGCTTGTCTCCCTACACTCGTTAGGTCTGGTTCCAGAATTCTGGAGCTCCTGCATGTCTAGAATGCCTTCTCTACTGGAAGGTCTGGGTCCGCTGCCACCTTTTAAGCGGCACGTTCTCTCCTCTCCCAGCCAGAAGCTCCTCCAGGCCTCCTTCTGTTTCCCTCTTGGGGCCTGACACTTCCTACTTTCTGTGGCTGTCTCCTTTACACAATGGGATATAAACTCAAGCCAGTCATAAATGCTCCAAGTTTGAACCCTCCATCTCTGACCAGGATACTATCTAAAATGAATGTTCCTCCTGGCTTGGGGTCTTCACACAGACAGGTCCCATTATTTTCAAAGTCCTGTCCCATTCTGCCACTCAGCGAATCCCAGTGCTCTCGTTCTAAAGCTATGAGAGTGACTTCTATTGAATGTCTGTCATTCACCAGACTAAGTTCTGGGCGAGAGGACAGGGTACACAGCAGTAGTCAGGTAAGAGGACAGTGGCCTTTTCTCTATTGCTCAGCACTGTGTCCCCAGTGCACACACAGCATCTGGTACATAGCTGTGGTTGAATGGAGCATGAAACAAAGACAGGAAACATGGAAGGCTAAGGACAACTTTCAGGGGAGGAGGCAGCTTCACAGTGCAAATTTTATGGGCAAAATAGCTGCCCAATGATTTTTCAAATGCAATGACAAGACCTAAATGAATATTGTCACTTAGTGCCTGAGGAGCATAAAAAATGAGACCAGAGGAGCCACACCTTTAAGCATAAATCAAACCAAGGTGAGACCACAACATATTCTGAACACATTCTGGCCGCTACAATGCAACTGGATGGATCTTGTTGGGGGCTCCTTCAGGTGTATGGTCTATGGGGCCTCCTAATGGGGCTGTGGCAATGAAAGTGCTTTGTAGAAAGGAGAGAAACTCAAAACTCAAATCCACTGGCATCAACTCAATCCTGATTCATAGTGTCCCAATCCAGGGTTTCTATGACGGTGAAACTTTATGCGGGCAGACAGCTACATACATCTTTCTTCCGTGGAGTGGCTGATGGGTTTGAACTGCCGACCTTGTGGTTAGCAGCCATCGCTTACTCTACAGTGCCACTAGAGTGCCTTAGAAAGGTCTCCCAGATTCTCTATGGCAATGCCAAGCAGGAAAGATTTTGAAGTAATTCCACAGACCTTTTCCCCGAAGAATTTTCCACGTGGAAGTGTCTGTGAAGGTGACGAGCATGGTAAGGTACAGTGTGATGAGTTTGGAGTCCTGGAGGATTTCAGGCTGGAAAGGAAAAACAAAGTCAAATTCCAACACTTATCACAGCCTGCAATCCAGTCAATGGAGCCACCCACCATTTCCACACGCATGCAGGGTTGCAAGTCAATCTTGATTCTTTTTCTCTTGGAGACAATCACTTTAGGAAGCTAAGTGACAGGATTTCAGCACACTAGCGCTTGCCTGTGGAATCTGAAGTAGCCTTGGGAATGGAGCACTGAGAATTCTTTGAACAATATGACTAGGGCTAGTTTGCTTTAATTACTCATTACTTACATATAAGCACTAGTGCAACATTAAAATGAACCACATGGCCGGTGAGCCGACTGTAACTGAGAACGACGGAATAGAACTGCCCCAGAGTGTTTCCTAAGCTCTCATTGTTACTGGAGCAGATCTCCAAGTTGTTTCTCCTGTGGAGCCATTGAGGGATTCAAACCGCCAACCTTCAGTTAGCAGTTGACCGCCTAAAGACTGAGCCATCCAAGGATTCAGTGAATAGTTCTAGTATAACATAGGGTGCTGTATTTATTTATGTATAAGCACTAGCACAAGAAAGGGTCTGGGCTCAGACTTCTGGCTTTACCACATACGAGCTGTGTGATCTTGGGAATCCTGGGGTGGCACTGTAGGATCAGCACTAGACTGCTAACTACAAGGTCAGTAGTTCAAACTCACCAGCTTGGAAATTCTACACAAAATTATCAACTTAAAACTAAATCTGCTAGCGTGTGCCCTTTGATTATTTAAATGATTCCATATTCCTGAGTGTTTTGGTGTACATCCAAAAAAACCCACAACAAAACAGGGAATAGAAGCAAATACTGTTGAATGATGATGCATGTAAGGGATTGTAATCATTGCAATGAAATGAAATATAATAGGATGAGTGTAAAACTGATATTCTCCCATGTAAACTATCACTCAATTCACAATAAAAACTTAAAAAAACAAAACAAAAAACTTAGCCTGCTATATTTGGAAAAAGAGTTAATTAACTCACCCCTAATATGATGGCTGACACAGTGTTTCTCTGCTATTAATAAAGTTTTCAGTGACTAAATATTCGGAAGTAGTTCGTTACTCTTTCTTCCTGGTCTGTCTTGATCTGGAAGCTCATCTGAAATCTATCCACCATGGGTGACCCTGCTGGTATTTAAAATACCAGTGGCACAGCTTTCAGAATCACAGCAACTCACAAGACACCACAATACAACGAACTGACAGATAAGTGGTGGCAATCAAGATGTATTGATCATTACTGGTGATTGGAATACAAAGGTTGGGAGAAAAGAGGAAGGATCAGTAGTTGTAAAATATGGTCTTGGTGATACAAATAATGCTGGAGAATGCATGATAGAATTCTGCAAAACCAATGATTTGTTCATTTCAAATACCTTCTTTAGACAGCATAAGAGACGACTATACACATGGACCTTACCAGATGGAATACATAGAAATCAAATTGACTACATCTACTGAAAGAGACTATGGAAAAGCTCCATATCATCAGTCAAAACAAGGCCAGGGGCAGATGTGGAACAGACCATTAATTACTCATATGCAAATTGAAAATGAAGCTGAAGAAAATTAAAACAAGTCCACGAGAGTCAAAATATGGCCTTGAATATATCCCACCTGAATTTAGAGATCATCTGAAAAACAGATTTGATACATTAAACACTAAAGACAGAAAACCAGAAGAGTTGTGGGATGACATTAAGAACATCATACATGAAGAAAGCAAAAAGTCATTGAGAAGACAAGAAAGAAGAAAAAGGTCAAAATGGATGTCAGAAGAGACATTGAAACTTGCTCTGCAGCATAGAGAGCTAAAGCACATGGAAGAAATGAGGAGGTCCAAGAGCTAAACAGAAAATTTTAAAGATCAGCTTGAGAAGATAAAGCCAAATATTACAAATATTACAATAGAATGTGCAAAGATCTGGAGTCAGAAAACCAAAAAGGAAGAACATGCTCAGCATTTCTCAAGCTGGGGGAACTGAAGAAAAAAATTCAAGCCTCGACTTTCATTACTGAAAGATACTCTAGGCAAACTACTGAATGACGCAGAAAGCATCAAAAGATGGAAGGAATCCACAAAGTCACTGTACCCAAAGGAAATGGTTAATGTTCAAACTTTTCAACAGGTAGTATCATTGATCAACAGCCAATAATACTGGCTGACTAATTGGAAGAGATCCATATTTGTGCCCATTCCAAAGAGAGGTGATCCAACGGAATGTGGAAATCATCGGACAATCTCTTTGATATCCCATGAGAGTAAAGTTTTGCTAAAGGTAATACACAAGCAGCTACGATCATACATTGACAGAAAACTTCCGTTCAAGCTAGATTCAGAAGATGGCATGGAATGAGGGATATCACTGCTGATGACTGATGGATCTTGGCTGAAAGCAGAGAATATCAGAAAAATGTTTACCTGGACTTTATTGACTACACAAAGGCTTTCGATTGTGTGGATCATGACAAGCTATGGACAACACTGAGAAGTATGAGTATTCCAGAACACTTAATTGCGCTCATGAGGAATCTGTACCTGGACCAAGAAGCAGTTGTTCAAACAGAACATGGGAACACTGAATGGTTTCAAATTAAAAACAGGTGTGCGACAAGGTTGTATTCTTTCACCATACTTATTCAACCTGTATGCTGAGCAAATTATCAGAGAAGCTGGGTTATATGAAGAAAAATGTGGCATCAGGATTGGAGGAATACTCATTAACAACCTGCAATATGCAGATGATACAACCTTGCTTGCTGAAAGTGAAGAGGACTTAAAATATTTACTGATGAAATCAAAGAACACAGACTTCGGTGTAGATTACATCTCAATGTAAAGATAACAAAAATCCTCACCACTGGATCAATAAGCAACATTCTTATCAATGGAGAAAAGAATGAAGTTGTCATGACTTCATTCTTCTTGGATCAACTATCAACACTCATGGAAGCAGCAGTCAAGAAATCAAATGACATATTGCATTAGGCAAATCTGCTGCACAAGACCTTTTTAAGTGTTGAAGAGCAAAGATGTCAGCTTGAGGACTAAGGTGCACCTGATCCAAGCCATGGTATTTTCAATAACCTCATATGCATGCGAAAGCTGGACAGTGGATAAGGTAGACCATAGAAGAACTGATGCTTTTGAGTTATGGTGTTGGAGGAGAATAGTGAAAGTGCCATGGGCTACCAAAAGAACCAATAGATCCGTTTTGGCAGAAGTGCAGCCAGAGTGCTCCAAGATGGCCAAACTTCATCTCTCATACTTCGGACATATTTTGAGGGACCAGTCACTGGAGATGGTTATGATGTTTGGCAAGGTAGAGGGTCAGAAAAAAAGAGGAAGACCCCCAACGAGATGGACTGGCCAAGTGGCAGCATCAATGGACTCATGAGTGACAACAGTACTAAGGTTGGCCCAGGATCGGGCAGTGTTTCCTTCTGTTGTGCATAACGTCGCTATGGGTCGGTACCGACTCGGTGGCACCTAACAACAACAATATGATGGTTGAGGGGCTCTGGTAGTGTAGTAGTTACGAGTCGGGCTGCTAACCTCAGGGTCAGCAGTTCAAACCTACCAGCAGTTCCATGGGAGAAAGATGAGGTTTTCTGCTTCTGTAAAGATTTATAGCCTCAGAAACCCTATGTAGGGTTGCTATGAGTTGAAACCAACTCCATGGCACACCACCACCACTACCACCAATATGATGGCTGGAACTGTGGTTGCCTTGGCAGGGCCAGTCAAATGATTTTGTATGCCTTATATGACTTTGGGGCTGGACTTTTCCCACCCTTTGCTATACGGGGTTGCTATAAGTTAGAACCAACTCGATGGCACTTTACAACAGCTGTGTGATTTTAGCCAAGTTTCTGAATCTCTCTGTGCCTCCGTTTCCTCATCTGTAAACTAAGGACACTAAGGGCTTTCCTTTTAGGGCTGTAGGAGAGTTCATAGATTTGTGTACATAAAGCATCAAGCAGTGTCACTGGCACACAAACTGCACACGTTGGCTATCAGTATCATCAGCATGACCACTGCCTATCCTTAGAGCAGGCTGGACAACAGGCCTTTCCAGGCTAAGAGAACGTGGAGCATGTGCACCTGGAAGGACCCTGGAGGCCATCTAGTTGGCAGGAAATTGACTTTCTCAAGGCCACAGAGCAGAATAATCGGGACTAAACACCTGATCTCCCTGGCCCCAGAGCCAGTGTTCTTTCCTCCTATGTGTGTGTCTTCACCTCAACCTTTCCCCACCTCAGAGGAGTGCCTCTTATTGAAGAAAAATTTGTTATGGAATGCAGATACACAAAGCAGACAAAAGAGGAGTGGCCCAGCTGAAGTGAAAGGAGAAGAACCCACTAGCTTGGCACTGAGGTGTTTTGGTGGAACTCCAGTACTCCCAGAACAGGCTGGGAAGGCCACTGTTCGGTGCCAGAAGGCCTCACTTGACAAGTTGGACTTGGCTGCCTGCTGGCTTACTATTTTGCTGGGTCATTGCCAAGATAACTCTTCCTGAGCAGTTGACAGAGATAGTTGGGAACAGGCATCTATCTGCTCTTCCCTTCAGCTGTTCCCTGGGTCCTGGCCATGCCTCTGCCCCCATGTCTGCTCACTCCCCTGCTCACCTCCTATATATAACACGAGGGCAGGCAAGGGACCAGGCTGGACCAGAACTAGTCCAGTTCAGCGTTAAGCCCAGAAGCCAGCTGGGACATTAAGAGTCCCCTAGATTTCCATCTGGCTCTGGTGGAGGCAGTGGAAGGCTGTGAAGCCAGACATGCTATGGTGCTGGCAGGAGAGGGTGAAGGGGACCCCAAAAGAGAACAGAGATGGGAGAAAAGAGGGAGAATCCTGGCAGCCCCTGACTCAGGCAGCCCCAGCTACCGTTACAGACCCAGAGTATTCATTTTCTCACTTAGCATGAACATATTACTGTGTTCACGTGGGTTTCTGTACTTGTAACAAGAGATCTGAGTAGTATAATACACACCATGAAAGATGCAAACATGTGCTACATGAAAGTAACAAAAGGACAGACAACACAAACACAGCTTATTTGTTGCCACTGAGTTGATTCTGAGTCACAGTGACCCTATGAGACAGAGAAAAAGTGCCTCCATAGCTGTTCTTTTTTTGTTTTTGGCTGTGGGAGATAAGAGGCAGAGATGGATTTTTTTTTTTTTTTTAATGATTGCTCCTGGCATCAAACTTCTTTATCTTCATCTGATCGAGTTCTAGTTAGCAAACCATCCAAGCTAGGTTACATGAGTACTCTCTGCAAATCTGGGAGTTCTCACATGGCTTTATATTTTTACCACTTAGTGTAAAAGTGATTTTCTAAATGAGTTACATATGCGGTATGATTTTTACAATATTATGCATCTTTTCTTAAAACAATAGGCGTGGAAAACAAGTCAGAAGAAAAAAGAAAAGTAGAATTATTAAGTTTACATAATGAAAAAAATTTAATTCTTTTGTTGTTGTTAAGTGCTGTTGAGTTGGTTCTGACCCACAGCGACACTGTATAGGGTTTCCAAGGAGTGGCTGGTGGGTTTGAATCACTGACCTTGCAGTTCAGTTTGCAGTCTAGTGCTTATCCTACATTATCACATATCTATGTCTGTCTTTATCTATATATCTATACATATATACAAGGAGCTCTGGTAGCATAGTGGTTACGAATCAGGCTGCGAACCACAAGGTCAGCAGTTTGAAACTACCAGCTGTTCCGTGGGAGAAAGATGAGATTTTCTGCTCCCGTAAAGATTTACAGCCTTGGAAATCCCGTACAGAGTTGCTATGAGTCGTAATCAACTCCATGGCACATAACCACAACCATACACACACATATATATATATATATACATGTTTCCAGTCCTTTCTCAGTATATACAGTGTGCATATGTAAACACTTGTTATTAACTGCTATTGAGTCAGTTTCAACTCATAATGACCCTGTATAGGGTTCCCAAGGAATGGCTGATGAGTTTGAACTGCTGATCCTACAGTTACCAGTTTTGTGCTTATCCCTACAGCGCCTCACCAGTACTCTTTTACAAGAATAATATTCTATAAGTCTGCATTCAGCCCTTCTCCCTCAATAGTACATCAGACAGCTCTGCTTGTCAGCATGCAGAGATCTGCTTCTATTACAAGGAGAAGTTTGTTCTCTTTTAAAGAGAAGAAATAGCAAAGAACTCCCTGCTGACTTGGGGCTTACTCTGTCAACATAAGCATACATCTTTGGATTCTTTTGCCAAATGAAAAGAGAACAAATTAGTCCGAGAAGACAGTGATAAGGGCCCTTGAGTTGATGAACTTGGAGTGGCGGCAGAATTGAACTGAGCTCTTTTGATTCAGCCTGATCCCCTATAAGGTTTTCTAGGCTGTAATCTTCACAGGAGCAGATTGTCAGGTCCTTCACCCATGGAGCTGCCCACTTTTTGGTCAGCCGGACACTTAACTGTTGCCCCACCAGGGCTCATTAGATACCAGTTAATGTTCAATATGTATTGTGTACCAAAGAAGGACTCACAGTGAGAAACCTATGAAACTCCCTCTATCGCAGAATAAGGACTCAATGAATCATTCTTACTAGACTCTGAACAATTAATCTCTGAAGCTCTAACCTATGAGAAAATCCTGAGAATCCTGAAAAGCAGCACGAACCTCCCAAATGGCATAGATGTAATCACATCTTTACCTTGAGCTGCTGAAGAAATTCACAGCAGTACCACAAAATAGCCTTGATTTGTTTAATCCACAGGAGGGTGAGATCCTTGGAAAGAGCCAGCGACACATACCACACCTACAAATGCAAGAGAAAGCAATGTAGTGAGCACTTTGTTGTTTCAGTGCTGCAGAGCTGGTTCCCACTCACAGTGATCCTGAATAGGGTTTCTGAAGAGTGGCTGGTTGAGTTTGGAAAATATTTTTTTTTAAGTTTGGTCCAGTGTCAGGTCAGGCAATAGGACTTATCTTAACACTAACCCCAAAATAAAACAGTCCAGTCAGGGAAGTTGCCATGTGAGTAAGTGGTAGAAGCAGAACAGAATTACTTGGATAGTAAAGAGACAAAGGTGCGCTTTGTGTTCATGTTTCTGATCCATTACTGATTTACACATACATATACATTCTGTTGTTAAGTGCTGTTGAGTTGGTTTTGACTCACAGTGACCCTGTATAGAGTTTTCAAGGAGTGGCTGGTGGGCTGTGATCATGGGAGTCCTGGTGTGGAGCTGTAAGATAAGCACTGGACTGCTAACCCAAAAGGCAGTTCAAATCCACCAACCTTCCTTGGAAACCTTCTACAGGGTAGCTATGAGTTGGAACCAATACAATATATATATACATAAATGAGTCCTGGTTGTGGGTTAATGTGTTGGACTGCAAAGTCACTTTGAACTGCAAGGTCGGCAGTTCAAGCTCACCAGCTGCTCCTCAGAAACCCTATACAGGATCGCTATGGGTTGGAACTGACTCAAAGGCACTTAACAACAACAACATACATAAACAAACAATGACATAACATTCAACAAGCGTTTCCTCTGAATCTGGAACACTTGTGGACACAACTCCAGTTCTAAGCCCGCTTACCTTGGGTTCATTCTCAGCATCCATGCTGCTCAGGATGGAGCGACACAACTTCTCAAATCTCTGCAAAGAGGCAGGATGGGGAGGGAGGTTAGAAAGTCCTGCAGAGAATCATGGCAATCATGGGAAAGGGCAGGGTGTAGATGCTTGCTGGGTCTCTGGCCTGCACCAGGCATTATGTCCAGTGATTCATACACATGGTTTTAGCTGAGTCCTTCTGACAGATGTGGAAACTGAGCATCAGAAGAGCTAAAGTAGTTTTGCATCTGGCGGCCCACAGGATGGAAGAGCCCTACAGATAGGCTTGACCTGACCAGCACTGTGTATTTCACATACAACTCCAGACTGGGACTTTTTTTTGAGAAACAAAATCAACCTGGACGTGTATTCTAGCTCTCTCTTAAATGGGTCCATGCTCCCCGGTTTATCATTTTGTAAGCATCTGGTAGCGTAGTGGTTATGAATCGGGCTGCTAACCTCACTACCAGCAGTTCTGCGGGAGTAAAATGACACTTTCTGCTCCCATAAAGATTTACAACGTCAGACACCCTATGCAGGGTCGCTATGAGTCGGAACCAACTCCACTGCACATAACCACTACCACCAAGCATCATAAGGAGCTCTGGAAGCGTAGTGGTTACGAACTGGGCTGCGAACCTCAAGGTCAGCAGTTCGAAACTACTAGCTGCTCCACGGGAGAAAGATGAGGCTTTCTCCTCCCGTAAAGATTTACAGCCTTGGAAACCCTGTCTGTACAGGGTCGCTATGAGTCAGAACCAACTCCACGGTACATAACCACCACCTCCAAGCATCATGGAGGTCTGAAATGGTTTGTGCAAGACTGCTAACCTAAATGACGGCAGTTCGAATCCATCCAGTAGCACTGTTAAAGTAAGGCCTACTTATATGCTTCTGTTAGAAGTATACACCAGAAGAGTGGATGAAGCAGCTCTCCTCTGTAACACACAGGGTCACTATTGAGTCAGAATTGATTTTATGACAGTTAGTAGTGAAAACAACCGCAACAGTAAGCACAGAGAGACCCCAGCCTAAGGCTGTTATATCGTCACTTTCATCCTGAAAAGCAAAAGGAACGAGAGTGGAAACCAGACAAGGGGTTCCCTTTGGTTGAATCAATCCCAGCCGGCCGCCTTCCCACTGTGAGCTCCAGTCTCCTCCTCTGTAAAGGGAGGTCACTCAGCTGAGTCTGCCTGGGACACTGATCACTGCCTACGCCCTGTCCCTCTCCTCCAGAGCTACAAGCTTCACAGGGACAAGCCCTCAGCATGCTTCTTTCCCTAGGGCCCTGAGGGTCTGGCACACATGGAAGGAACCTGGTAAACAGTCACTGAGCAAATAAATGTGAGGCTTAACAACCATGAGTGTCTAACACCTGGTCATGGAGTCCTGGTGATGCAGAGGTTAAGCACTCTGCAGTTCAAACATACCAGCCACTCGGAGGGAGAAAGATGTCACAGTCTACTTCCTTCAAGACTCCAGCCTCAGTTATACACTGTCTTATAGAGTCACTATGAGTCTCTGGAGAAGGACACTGTACTTTGTGAAGAGGACGGTCGGAGAAAAAGAGGAAGACCCCCAACAAGATGGACTGGCAGTGGCAGCAGCAATGGGCTCAAGCGCAGCAACGATCGAGAGGCTGGCACAGGACTGGGCAATGTTTTGTCCAGCTGTGCATAGGGTCATCATGACTCGATGGCACCTAACAACACAGGGCCGTTACCAACTCAGTGGCACCTAACAATGAGTTGAATTCAACTGGATGGCAGCAGGTTTGGGTTGCTTTTTGTTTGTTTGTTTGAACATCTGGCAAACTGTGACACATAACAGGCAATCTTCAGGTGGTACCTAGCTTTATTACCATCATTTATGAAGAGGCTTCAGAAAGTTCATGAAAAAATGGAATTCCAAGACAATGGCATTTGTCCACAAACAATCTGGATGGAGCAGCTTCATATTCCTATTACAGGGACCTAAATGTTTTCTTGGAACCACATTTTCCAAGTTGCTGATTTCAAACTTCAGAGGTATAAAGTGGCTCATTTTGTTTGGTGTGCAAGATGGAAATGAAATTTCTAATTAGCTGCAATGCCTACAAATTATGGCACTGAGCATCCAGATCTGGATTTCTCTCTAAAACACCAGAGTGTCTGTCCACGGCGGGCTGGGCTCAGCTGCCTCTTAGTGGCATGTAACAGAACCAGCATCCACTTGGAGGTCCCTAACTCTGAGGTTCGTTACTTATCAAGGACTACAGGGACTCATCATGTTGTTTTTTTCTCATAAATGGCTTTGTTGACTCATTTACATAATTTGCCTGGCTCTGGTAAGCATTTGAGCTTCCGATGCCTCAAAATAGTCAATGCGAAAAGAACCTCAACAAGTCCCAGGAGACCCGAGCATAAACCTATTTCAAGGAGTTCATCCAAGGACTAAGTGAGTCAGTATTTATGAAATGCTTATGAAAAGAGCTGGCACACAGTAAGCACTATGGTTGCTGTCAGTATCTTACCTCATTATCCTCTTTAATTTTGAATAAGAATAGCAGCTTCCGGGCAATCTTAAAAATACAAAGTGCGCTTCTTTTACTGGACCCAGACTCACTGCTTTTAAAAAACTCATCAATCTCTTTCCTGGGGAGGGAACAAAAGTGGGGGGGAAAGGTGTTTTAATGAAGAGCTCACAACACCTGGAAAGCTTTTCCAGCGCTGTGAATGAGAGAACCGTAAGTTTTCTATTGACTGGGAGCGGGAGAAAATCGCGCACAGGAGTTGTTGACACGCACCTGATTTCCCGCTGTAGTTGACTACGGCAAAGAAAACTCCGGACGTGGGCCTGAATCTCCACAGCTGCCTTCTCCCGCTCCTTTTGCCCGAGCCTTTCTTCTCGGGCCTGGCGGGCTCTATCGATGAACCATGCTCTGGAGGTCTGAGACACGGTAAACATATTTGCAAACCTTGTGCGAATCCTGTAAGGAAAACATTATGAGAAAAGTACTTTCAGAAAGGGGCTCAAGAACACAGGGTGGGCGGGGATTGGGCAGAGACCCTCTACAGGCCTTCCAAGGAGCAGTTGGTGGGTTTGAACCATGGACCTTGCAGTTAGCAGTCCAGTGCTTATGCTACAGTGCAAATTGACACATATTTTGAGGGGACAAAATTCAATCAATAACAGGGGGAAGGAAGTTGATTTTTTTTCTGTTCTATTTTTTTTAAGAAAAATGGTTAAGATTTTCAGTTAGAGAAATCAGCTGTTAGTGAATAATTTCAAGATGTGTTCTAGGCCTTGGTGTTTGTAATGCCACTTATGAAGAGGCTGAGGAGCCTGGTCCAGGCAGACCCCGAGCCCAGGGAGTGGAACTGGACCTGCAGTGGGCTAGGGCTAGGGAGCCACACTCTGTTCTTTTGATGCCATCTCTTTAGAACCACACCTGTCTTTTCCCATTGCCTTGAAACATTCCAGATTGCTTGAATATGAGTTGATTCTAACTCATCACACCCTTGGAGGGCAGAGCAGAACTGTCCCGTAGAGTTTTCAAGGCTGTAATCCTGACGAAAGCTGACTATCACAGCTTTCTCCTGTGAAGTGGCTGATGAGTTGGAACTGCTGTTCTCCTGGTGAGTAGATGAGTGCTTAGCCACTATGCCACCAGTGTTCCTACATGAACTAACTGCTCAGCCACATCAGTCGGTTCAGTCAGAACGTAGTGTGAGTACACTGAAGTATCTGTCCACAATCACTTTAAAACCAAGATAAGCATGTAGGCGGGGAGAGGAGACAGGGAAATCTGAGAAAGTGGAAGTGGAAATATTGAGAATGTCACTGACCAACTTCTGTAGAAATTGTTGAATGGGAACCTAAACTGTAATGTAAACTTTCAACAATAACACAATCTTTTTTTTTTTTTTTTTTTAAAGAAGAAAGTTAGAACCTATCGGGAAACTTGATGGGCATTTTCGACATTGGCTGTCAAACACTAACAGGGCTTTTCCCCAGATGTGGGTCTCATGTCAGTCATTCTCAAAGCAAATGAACAGAGCATACCTGACCACAGGAGGGAGGGTGAGAAGGCAGGAGAAGAAATGATGGCAGTCTTCAGAATCACTCCTCTTTCCACCTGGCAATGGGAAGCCAGGGAGCTCACCTAAGGATTTACCTGTGATGCAAAATGTCAGGTAATCATTCGTGATCTCACACAGGACTCAGCTGAAGGCAGGTGGCACGCCCCAGTGGCTTCTCGTCTCTGGCAGAACAACGTAAGTAAAAGTTCAGAGTTAGGGCTCAGTTGTGTAAGCGGGGCATCATAGGTTGTTCTCACTAAGTAACAAACATGGTGTCTCTGGCTTAAAACCAACCCTTCTGTCCTTTTTAATGAATGTCTCCTCTGCTTTTTTCAGATTGCATCGCTACAGACCTCACAGATTAATGGGAATATTGCTGTTGTTGTTAAGTGCCATAGAGTCAGTTTGGAGCCATAGCAACCCTATATAGGGTTTCCAAGGAGCAGCTGGTGAGCTGGAACCACTGACCTTGTGGTTACAGGCTTTGTGATGATAAGCAGAACAACAATATTTAGAGACCAAAGACTGTTAAAATATTATACACACACCAACGCATATACATACCCAAACCCACTGCTCTCAAGTGGATTCGAGCTCACAGCAAGTCTTTTGGACAGGGAGAACTACTCCATAGGGTTGCTAAGGCTGGATATCCTTATGGAAGTAGACTGATCCATCTTTCTAAGGAGTGGCTAGTAGGTTCAAAGAGCTGACCTTGTGGTTAACAGCCCAGCACTTTAACCATTGCACCACCAAGCTCTGTATGTCAAACACAAAAATTATGATCAACAAGTTTAACAACATGGGATACCTTTAAAAAAAAAAAAGGAGTCAATGATGCTAATTCCATACAGTAAAAAGAAAAATGTGCGTGCATCCAGAGCTATAAGGCTGGGACGAAAGCCATCAACACGTTCAGAGAGATCATTTTGGAGTAATAGAATTGCGGGATGATCTGCTTCTGTAAATGGCCTCTCTTCTCCAAATTTTCCCTACAAAGCAGCACCCAAAGGAAAACATCATCAGGAAAAAAAAAAAGGAAAACTCATGGTTAGGCTGCAAGGCACAGTGTGAAAGGCACACAGCTCTGGCTAAGTCCTTTTTTTTTTTTTTTTTTATTAAATGTTTTTATTTTGGATTGAGTGAAAGTTTACAGGGCACATCATCAGCTTCACATTCAACCATTCATATAGCTTGTTTCATTACACTGATTATTATCCCCTCCATATATCATCAGTTAACAGTGTTTCTCTCTATCCTCTTTAGCTTTTTTTTTTGGGTGGGGAGGAACTTGCCTTTTTGGAATTTACAGTCTCGGCTTTTAGGGAAGGTTTTTACATTTGTCTGTGGATATCCAGGGCTCATGTATGAGATTACTAACAAGCATTACTGAATAATCAGATGAGGGACAGTTTGCTATGTCTACTAGGTGGCTAAAGTCTGATCCTCAGAGCCTATGGTTTGGACGGTCAACAACGCTTGGGCCCACAGGGTCTTGACCTCCTGACCCGGTCTACACGGTCTGCATCAGATTCCCCCTTATTTATTGTTTGTTTAAGGGACGCTGCCTGTCTTAGGCGGTCAGTGCGAATTTCTCAGTCTTACCCCTCATCGAAACTCATTGCAGCATGGCAATGGCTCTGTCTTAGGTTGCCGAGGTTCCACGTCATCCTTACCCGTCTCTGGCCACACGTCCAGCATAAACAGCCGCCATCCGAGGAAGGCAGGGAGGGAGGAGATCGGCTGGGGACCCCATACGCAAGACGTTGCCAGCCCACCACCTGCTCTAAGGTGACCAAGCAGGATCACTATGCTGAGGTTCAATCAAGTTCTTAGGGGATCTTACTCTCTAGCAGGGGTAGCAAATTAGTAGCCACTCAGTGCTCACTTTGAGAATTACTTATATCATAAATTTGAGCATGTAGCTGATGAATATCCACAGACAAGTGGATATTATTCCACAACCTCCTAAAATGCTGTTGGATTAAGTTCCAATCAAGGTCTGGATTACTGAAAGATAACACAAATCTATTTATACCATGAATAACCTTAGCTGGGAGTGTAATATGGATATATTGGGTCTTATTTCCCTTAAGCGATCTTCCTTTCTCTAAAGCATTTAGTCTGTTTTGTAAACCTTTATCTATTTACTCTTGGATCGTATGAGCGAGACTAATATCCCTAGACAGTTGATTTACATGGTGGGCAGGGCAAAAAAAGGCAACAATTCCTATTAGTGCAGTGATTCTTGACATGAGAGCAAACACATATGGCACATTTAAGGGCCAGGCACCGCAATGATTTGCCTAGCTTCTGAAAACTTTAACAGGCAATAAAAACTACGATGGTTGATGGACGATCTGGCTAAGTCCTTTAAGGAGATTTCTCAGAGCCTTCCCTGCCTTCACTGCTAACCACAGATGCCAATACTCAGCCAATGACAAGGACTAAATGAGATGATATTCACCAAGTCCAGGCGGCTGTCAAGACAGAACAGTCAATGAATCTCATAGATATGTTATTTTTACAGACACACATTTCTCTTTCTTTCTTTACCTCTTTAGCAAAGGCTCCCATCCATCTACACAGATTCTAAGGTTCTTTTGGGAGGAAATAATGCTGGATTATTTATCGTTCTTCATCCATTACATTTCTTCATACCTCTGGGTACATTAGGCTCATCAGTTCTGTTTCTTGGCCCTGATGTTTGGACTGGACAAATCCTCCAAGCCATGAGCACCATTATGTGTTCTTTCCTTACCACACAGACAGTCCCTCGTAGAGGGCAAGAGGGGGAATGAGTAAAAGGGGAAGGAGGAGCCTCTTCAAGTGGAAGAAAAAGAATCATATGGATTTTTCTTAGTTCTGATTCTACCTCTTATTTTGGCAAGTTATTTATCCTCTGTAGGTTTCAGTTTCCTTAGGATTAATCTCAGGATGGTGGGGGCAGATGGTGGTGATGGTTGTGTGCTGGGCAGTCAGTTTCAAGTCAGAGTGACCTTCTATAGGGTTTTTGAGGCTTTAAACTATGGTAGCGTAGTGGTTACGAATAGGGCTGCGAACCCACAGGGTCAACAGTTCGAAATTACCAGCTGCTCTGCGGGAGAAAGATGAGGCTTTCTGCTCCCATAAAGATTTACAGCCTCGGAAACCCTGTTCAGGGTCGCTATGGGTCAGAACCGACTCAATGGCACTTTACAACAAGAACAACAATAAATCTTGAAGGGAGCGGAAATGCTCATCTTTTTCCCATGGAGTGGCAGGTAGATTTGAACGGCTAACCTTGTGGTAGCAGCCCAGCTTGCAATCCACTCACTACCAGGGCTGACACCTATTTCCTAGAGTGGCTAAAGGAGCCCTGGTGACACAAGTGGTTAAATGGCTGGGTGTTAACCAAAAGACTGTTGGTTCAAGTCCACCCAGTGGCTCCACAGGAGAAGACCTGGGAACATGCTTCTGTAAAGACAACAGTGTCAAGAAAGCCCTATGGCTCTGTCTTAGGGGGTCTCTATGAATCGGCATCAACTCGATGACATACAACATTCTTGTTAAAAGGATATGGTGGGAATACACCCTCACACCTGAACTTGGGGAGCACGGTGGCTCTGTAGGATAAGCACTGGACTGTGAACTCTCCGAGGGAGAAAGATACTGCTTTCTTGCTCCTGCAAAGATTTACAGCCTTGGAACTTCATACAGGGTTGCTATGAGTCAGAGCCAACTTGAAGGCGCTCAACAACAAAACATCATACCTGAATTTAGTCATCACAACACTGTGATTATAATTAAAAATGAACTATATATAATTAAAACATTTACTAGGAAAATATGAAAGCATATAACATACAAGTGACCTTTACTGTACTGTCCTTAAGTTAAAGTTTACAATCAGTTGAGGAAACAAGAATTATATAAGAAGTGGAATGGTTAGAAAATAAGAGGTTAGCAACAGCCAAGATCATTTGGAAAGTACACGGGAACTAGGTTGACTGAGTGCCCATTATGTGTCATACCCTTTCTAAGAGATCTCATCTAAATACAGTAACCCTCTGAGAAGATCACTTATTATCTTCCATAGTCCAGGTTAGACCATAATAAGTGACAGAGTCACACATTTTAATATCTTTCTTCTAGGACAGGGCCTCTATATACCCAGGAGACTTATCCCAAATTAGTCTTTTCTGGGTATGAATCATTGTGGATACACAGAAATAAAGCCAACTATGAAGGAACAGGATAGACCAGAGAATACTGTCCAAAGACAAAGTATCATAAACTGGGTCCAAGAATAGCCTCTCTGTCCTGGTGTGACACTGTAGGATAAGCACTGGACTGCAAGGTCAGTTTGAACTGCAAGGTCAGTGGTTCACACTCACCAGCCGTTCCTCAGAAACCCTATGAAGGGTCGCTATGAGCCGGAACCAACTCGATAGCACTAAAAAACAACATACTGGGAACAGCTCAGCAGTCAGGTTTAAAGACCACTAGTATTTATTAAGGGCCAACCTTTTATCAAGCACTAGCATAGTGGTTACAAATAGGGCTGTTAACCTCAAGGTTGGCAGTTCGAAACTACCAGCTGTTCTGCGGGAGAAAGATGAAGCTTTCTGCTCCCATAAAGATTTAAAGCCTCGGACACCATGTGCAGGGTCACTATGAGTTGGAACAGGCTCCACGGCACTTGACAACAACAACAACAACAGATATTGAGCCAATCCTATCTTTTCAATGAGAATACCAGAAAGATATCTACCTGTGTTTTCTTGACTATGCAAAGGCATTTGACTGTGTGAATCAGAGCAAACAATGGAACACTGGGTAGAAGAATGGGAATTCCAGAGCACTTAATTGTGCTCACACAGAATCTGTACCAAGACGCAGTCATTCAAATAGGACAAGGGTATAAAATCAGGTTGTGTGTCAGGGTTGTAGCCTTTCACCACACTTATTCAATTTACATATTGAGTAAGTAATCTGAGAAGCTGGACTATATGAAGAACGTGGCATCAGGATTGGAGAAAAACTCATTAACAGCCTATGATATATAGATAACACAGCCTTGCTTGCTGGAAGTGAAGAGGACTTGAAGCACTTACTGATGAAGAACAAAGCCTTTTCAGTATGGATTAAACTTCAATGTAAAGA